ATTTCTGTAGGTTAGAGTTCTGCAAATGATGGCTCTTGGGCTGCATCTGCCTTTTTTGTAAATATATAATGTTACTGGCCAAGGATGGTGGTTCATGCCTGTGATCCCAGCACTATGGGAGGCCAAGGTGGGAGGATTGCTTGAAACTAGGAGTTTGAGGTCAGCCTGGGCAACTTAGCAAGACCCCTGTCTTCACAAAAAAGTAAAAAATTAACTGGGTATGATGGTGTGTCTGTATTTGCAGCTACTTGGGAAGCTAAGGCAGGAGGATTGTTTTGAGTTCAGGAGTTCAAGACTGTAGGAATCTACAATTTCTATGATTACACTACTACCCTCTAGCCTGGGTGACAGAGTGAGACCCTGTCTTTTTTTTTTTTTTAAAGGCCTAGTCCAGTGGCTCAGGCCTGTAATCCTAGCACTTTGGGAGACTGAAGTGCGAGACTTGCTTGAGTCTAGGAGTCTGAGACCCGCCTAAGCAACATAGTAAGACCTCATCTCTATAAAAAAAATAAAAACGTTAGCTGAGTATGGTAGCATGTGCCTGTAGTCTCAGCTACTGTACTTGGGAGACTGAAGAGGAAGGATCACCTGTTTGTGCCACTGTACTCCAGCCTGGGTGACAGAATGAGACTCTTGACTCAAAAAAAAAAAGAATAATAATAATCCCCAAACAAAATAAATAAAATAATATAAATAAATAAAAAGTTCTTAACAACTAACTGAATTTGCTGTTAATGGAATGTAATTATGAGAAAACACTGTTCATATTTGCAAGATGATACTGACCTTCCAAGTCACTTTTCTGAGACCTATTTCATTTCAACTCAAAAAAACCCCCCCAACATCTAAAATACATATCCTGTTGATGGTAGCATTTATTTTATTTTATTTTATTTTTTACCAGCATGTAACTTTATTTTTAAATTTTATTTTATTATAGAGATGTGGGGTACAAGTAAGGGTTAACTACACAAGTGGGCTGCATGCAGAGAAAGCTTGGGCCTCCAACTGGCCCTCACTTCTCCTGGTTTAGGATCAGGTATCCTTTTTTTTTTTTTGAGTCTCACTCTGTCACTCAGGCTGGAGTGTAGTGGCATGCTCACAGCCACTGCAGCCTCAGCTTGCTGGGTTCAGGTGATCCTTCCACCTCAGCCTTCCAAGTACAGGTGCGCACCACCACACCTGGCCAATTTTTTGATTTATTATATAGACGAGGTCTTGCCAAGTTGCCCAGGCTGGTCTCGAACTCCTGGACTCAGGCAGTCCTCTCACCTCTGCCTCCCAAAGTACTGGGATTACAAGCCTGAGCTACCACGCCCAGCAAGTACCCTTTTGATTGTAGCATTTAAACACAATGGTTTCTCTACATTGGTTTCCGTTTTTGCTTCCCAGACTTAGAAGTCTGTTTCTTTGCCTCAGATAGGCAGAGCCTTTGGTAGCTCATACTGGGCGTGGGGGCAGGCTACAGGTGTGTGGAAGTTGTTCCCACATGGAGCTGTACCGGACATGAGGGCTTTACATTGCTGAAAACAGCCATACCCACAACTTCCACCCTGTCCTATGAAAAGGAAGGCCCGGTGTGGTAGAAAGACTTGCCTGGCTGGGCCTCAGTTTGCCCTTCTGAAATGGAATTCCTCTTTCCTGATTGCTTCTTAGCATCTGACTTTGCTGATTTCTACTTATAGACAGTGGTGTGCTGGTGGTGGTGTTTGGGATCAATCCATCAGTTCCTCACCAGACCTTGTGGGCCCCCGAATCCCCCAGCCCTGGCCTCCCAAGTTGCCTGATGACACACCTCTGGGTGCCTGGCCTCCAAACTTATTCCTGGTGAAGGCTCCCAGCCCGAACACCCTACTGCTGGCTTAAGAGAGCAAGCCGAAGGTGCGTGCCAGATTCTGCTCCTGTCAAAACCCAGTGAGCCACAGCAAAGAGCTTTTTGGTTTGAGTCCCAATACAGCAGTGAGGAAAGCTGGGGGTCCCTCCATCTGGACACAGAACCCCCAAAAGGCACATTTGCTGGCATCATGGGATGCCTCTGGAACTGGGGGTGAAGGGGGGTTGGGTGAAAGACTCCCAGGTCCTGCCCCTGCCCTGTGTGGACAGGGAATGACCACTTTGACCCCACTGGGGACAGGCAGTTCATCCTCAGGAGAGGGACACGCAGAGGGTCTTGGGATGGGGGATTGGAAGGTGAGGTTGAGGGCACAGGGCCTGCATCTCACACAGGAGGGTCGGGATCTGCATAGGTGCTGACTCCTCAGAAGTGCCCCATCCCTGCAGGCCCCTGGTTGACCTTGATGGCCCAGGCAGAATACCAGAAGACCTTTCCCAGGATATATGCCAGCAGGGAGAAAGCTTTAAAGATGCCGAAGATACTGACAGAGCCCTCCTAATTACCCGATATTGAGCTCAGGGTCACGTGCTCAGTGCTTCTCTTCCCTCCTGTGGTCACGAGGACGTGATCAAAGCTTTCCAGACATTTGGATGCTGTTCCTAACACAGAACACAGGGCCCAAACAAACAGCTGCAGGAAACTTGGAAGAAACAGAAACTGCTGGAATAGAGAACTTTAAAAACTCTTGTTAACATCCTCATTGAGGTCAGACAGGATGTTGCACACATAGGAACAGGATGCTATAAAAAAGGGAACATTTGCAGACCAAAAACAAGTGCTTAGACATTAAAAACACGAGAGCAAAAGTGAAGCTCTCCACTAAAAGTTTGGGAGATAAAGCTGAGGACATTACCCAGAAAGTAGAAGAAAAGAGAGAGAGAATGGGAGAGGGAAAAATACATAAACTAGCGGGCCAGTGTAGGAACTTCAACATCCAAATAATAGGACATCTAGAAAGAATAGAGAAAAGGTTGTTGGGCGTGGTGGCTCACGCCTGCAATCCCAGCACTTTGGGAGCCCAAGATGGCAGATTGTTTGAGCCCAGGAGTTCAAGACCAGCCTGGGCAGCATAGCAAGACCTCGTCTCTACAAAAAAAAAAAAAAAAAAGATAATAATTACCAGTTACAAAATTAAGCCAGGTGTGGGGGTGTGTGCCTGTAGTCCCAGCTACCCAGGAGGCTGAAGCAGAAGGATCACCTGAGCCCAGGAGATTGAGGCGGTGGTGCCCTATAATCGTGCCACTGTATTCCAGCCTGGGCAACACAGTGAGACTCCAACTCAAAAAAAAAAAAAAAAAAAAAAGGAAGGAGGGAGGGAAGAAGTGGTAGGAGTCTACTGGGAGGAGTGGGTTGAATTAGCAACAGGTCCAGGAATGCCAAGTAAAGGAAACAAGCATTAACTCTAGGAAAAACAAAAAGGAAACAAAGTCTGGTATCCCACAACTCTCATCTGTGGATAATGATCAGTGACTAATGGAACTCTGAGTACCGAATTTTCCAGAATATAGTAGAAACCCCTCCCCCGCCGCCCAGTTGAGCAGCTGGGAGAGGGAGTGAATAGGGCCACCCTGTAAGAGAGCTAAATTCACCCTGTAAGAGAACTAATTCTCAGGATGGGGAGGCCATTGATGGTGACTCGAAAGGATGACTTGCGACATGGTATACACACATTGTTTAGAACTGTGGAGACGTAATTGCTAGAAAAAGTATCAGTAGTGATTTCCTCTGTTTGATGTTATGTATTTTTTAAATTGTTTTCAGTTTTATAAAAAAAACTTTTTGAAATATGAATACTGAAAAGTACCTGAAAGATATAAATACTATTTAACAAGCCTGAACTGTTAGAAGGTGTGGGACTTCCTCCCTCATCCTGAAACTCCCACCCTTGCTAGAAGTTTTTGGTTTTTTTTTAGTCGTAGTCCCACTCTGTCACACAGGCTGGAGTGCAGTGGTACACTCATGGCCACCGCAGCCTTGACCTGGCGGGCTCAGATGATCCTTCTGCCTCAGCCTCCAAGTAGCTGCAACCATAGGCATGTGCCACCACGCCCGGCTAATTTCTTGATTTATTGTAGAGACGAGGTCTCAGCATGTTGTTCAGGTTGGTCTCGAACCCCTGAGCTCAGGCAATCCTCTTGCCTCTGCCTCCCAAAGTGCTGGGATTACAGACTTGAGCCACTGCTCCTGGCATTTTTTAAAGTGTTATTTGAGCTCCTAAATTATGGGGAGGTAAAGTAAGAATGAATTGATCTATATGTATACCTTGGGACAGGTAGAGGGATCACCTTTTCTATTTCCTGTGCTGGCCTTAGCTGTCCTCTTAAGAAAGTGCCTCTGGCTGGGTGCAGTGACTCATACCTGTAATCCCAGCACTTTGGGAGGCTGAGGTAGGAGGATTGCTGGAGCTCAGGAGTTCGAGACCAGTCTGGGCAACACAGCAAGACCTCTTCTCTACAAAACATTAAAAATTTAGCCAGTTGTGGTGGTATGTGCCTGTAGTCCCAGCTATTTGGGAGGCTGAGACAGAAGGATTGCCTGAGCCCAGAAGGTCGAGGCTTTGGTGAGCTGTGATCCTGCCCCTGTGCTTCAGCCTGGGTGACAGAATAAGACCCAATTAAAAAAAAAAAAAAGCCCCCACCTGTAATCCCAGCACTTTGGAAGGTGGAGGCAAGAGGATTGCCTGAGCCTAGGAGTTCAAGACCAGCCTGGGCAACTTGGTGAGACCTTGTCTCTAGAATAAATAGAAAAATAAGCTGGGTATGGTGGTGTGCACCTGTAGTTCCAGCTACTTGGAAGGTTGAGACAAAAGGATTGCCTGAGCCCCTAGCAGGTTGAGGCTGCAGTAGCTGTGAGCGTGCCACTGCACTCTGGCCTGGGCAACAGAGTGAGACTCCCATTCAAAAAAAAACAACAAAAAAGGTACTTCCTGCCATGAGCCTCCCTGTGGGTTGCTTCCAGGTCTCTGGAGAGCAAGCACAAAGCACAGGGAGTTGGGGTGCCCTGGCTCCTCTCTCAACACTTGTTGTGTGGGTCCTGGGCTCCAACTCCCACCCTGAGGCTCCCGGCTGCCTCCTTACATGGGACTGACTGTGTTTTCGCTCTGCAGGCCGAGCATGTCGGGGCTCCACCTGGTGAAGAGAGGCCGGGAGCACAAGAAGCTGGACCTGCACCGAGACTTTGCCGTGGCTTCCCCAGCTGAATTTGTCACACGCTTTGGAGGGGATCGGGTCATTGAGAAGGTACAGAGGAGACCTGGCACTCTGGGTGGGGGGCGCTTGGGGTGGAGGGGCCGCCATCCCAGTTGGAGGTGGGGGAATCAACTGCAGGCTCCTTCCTCACGCTGCGGATGGGTGAGGGCCACCTGCTGGGACCCTTGCTTAGTGCTGGGAGCTTGCCTTCCTGAGCTTTTCACCCTCATGACGGAGCAAGTGCCCTCACCGCATTCATAGAGAGGGAGGCCGAGGCCTCTGGGCATGGTCAGGAGGCTCCCAAAAGAAGCCTGGTGATGTTAAGAAAGAGGCCGCCACTTTCTCAGCTACTGGACAGGACGCTTAAAGCCAGCCCTGCCCTTCTGAGGTTCACAGCTACTTAGAGGAGAGGAGAATCGCATGCTCTAATGACAGTGAGAAAAGGGAAAGGCTTTGGCATCATCTCCCGTTCCATCTGGTGACAGCTCTGGGTTAGCACACATTCTGTTTGACTATTGCCATCGTACTCGTGGAGAAACTAGATTCAGAGTTTGACGTTGGCGGTCCAAGGACAGGTAGCTAGTAAGTGGGGAACTGGCAATACGGCCAGTTTGTTCCATTTTACTTGAGTGCGGTGGTAATAATAAAACAACAGTAACAGCAGCTACCACTGATTTGGGGCCGATTCTGCAGTAGACATCCTGTTTCTTGCTTGACATAATTGTTTCTCATTTAACCATCCCCAGCTCAATTAGTGGGTATTATTTTATAGATGAGAAAACTGAGGGTTAGAGAAGGGTGGTGAAGCTGGGGTTTGAATCCCGGCTGTTGGGCTCCAGGGCCTGCACGTCCTCAACCCAGCGGTGTAAGGGCACATCGAGCATTGAATTCATGCAGTTCCCAAACCTGGCTGCCACCAGTCTTGTTGAAAATACAGGTTCCAGGCTAGCTGTGGTGGCTCATGCCTGTAATCTCAGCACTTTGGGAGGCTTGAGGTGGGAGGATTCCTGGAGTCCAGGAGTTCAAGACCAGCCTGGGCAACATAGCGAGACCTCGTCTCTACAAATAACAAAAATAATTAGCTGGGCATGGTGGCATGCACCTGTAGTCCTAGCTACTCAGGAGGCTAAGGCAGAAGGATCATCTGAGTCCAGGAGGTGGAGGCTACTGTGAATAGTGATTGTGCCACTGTACTGCACTTTAGCCTGGACAGCAGAGTGAGACACCGTTTCTAAAAAAAGAGGCAGTGGCGGGGCGGGGGGAATAGGGAGAAAGAGAAAGAGTGAGTGAGAGAGAAAGTGAATACAGATTCCTCTTCCCTGCTCCAGATACTTGAATTTAGACCCTCCTGGGGAGGGGTCCAGGAGTTGCATTTTTGCTACAATTGACAGGGAACTGTTTTGCAGCAAGTGGTGTCTGGTGTTTAATTCTCAGGAGCCTAGAGGAGGCTGGGGTGGCCACAGAAGGCCTGGCCCAGAGATGTTGCACTTTCTGGCTTAGGTGCTGACCTTGCCTTGCCCGTCTTCTAGACTCCTTGAAAGCCGTTGCTGTGGGGATTAGCACAGCCCGCTGGCCTGTGGCAGCCTTCTCGCCCATGGGGCTCCCACGACACTCGTTGTGCTGAACAAATGGGGCCAAGGGGAACTGGGCCAGCGGGGTCATCGCAGTCCTTCCCTCCTGACCATGCCTTGCTTTGGTAATAGATTGAGAACACCAAAGGCTTGCTATTTCATCGTCTCTTCCCAGGAGACACTTTTGGCAGGGTAGAACATTTTACTCGGGCAAGGAACTCTGGGCCCAAATCCTGGTGTGGCCACTAGTCGGATGTGAGATCTGGACTCAGTTTCCCCTTTTGTAAAATAGAGATGATCACATCCCAAATCTCTAATGAGACTTGCCCTTCAGGCAGTGATAAAGATTAGACAGCAAAGTAGGAAGCCTTTTTTAAAAAAATTTTTTGAGGCTAAGTTTTTCTCTGTCACCCAGGCTGGAGTACAGTGGCCTAATCCTAGCACACTGCGGCCTCCAACTCTTGGGCTCAAGCGATACTCCTACCCTGACCTACAGGCTCACGCCTGTAATCCCAGCACCATGAAATGCTGGGGCAGGAGGACTGCTTGAGGCCAGGAGTTCAAGACCAGCCTAGGCAACATTGTGAGAGCTAGCCTCTATAAAAAATTTAAAAATTAGCTGGGCGTGGTGGTGCATACCTGTAGTCCCAGCTACTTGGGAGGCTGAGGCAAGAGGATTGCCTGAACCCAGAAGGCCAAGGCTATAGTGAGCTATGATTGTGTCACTGCACTCCAGCATGGGTGACAGGGCAAGACCCTGTCTTGGGAGAAAAAAAAAGCTAAGGATGATCATGATGTTACCAAACAAAAGAATCAACAATCATTCATTCATTCATTCTCTTGTGCATTCATGCTGCTGGCTGATTCTGAGCACCTGTTCTGTGCCAGGCTGTATGCCACAGAGATACAGAGAGCAGGGCTGTGCTTCAGGTGCCACAGGTGGGTCTACAGTGTGAGTTGGGCTCGGGGTGGCATGCAGCCCCCAGCGCAGGTAGAGTGCATCCAGCTCCTTCCCCACCTTCCCCATGCAGGTACTTATTGCCAACAACGGGATCGCCGCTGTGAAGTGCATGCGCTCCATCCGCAGGTGGGCCTACGATATGTTCCGCAATGAGCGGGCCATCCGCTTTGTGGTCATGGTGACGCCTGAGGACCTCAAGGCCAATGCAGGTACTTGGCCTTGACCCCTGCCCCCACCTTGCCCCATCTTACCTGCTCTCTCCTCCTCCACCCTGCCAGGGAATTCCATCTGGACCCCAGACAGAGTCAGGCCCTCTCATGAGTCTGTGTTTATTTGCCCTTTCTTCTTTATTGTATTAGAATGTCTGCTGATAACAAGAACGACCCAAGTACCTTATAAAAGTGCTTGTTAACACAGAGAGTAGAAATCCCATCTTGGGGAAATGTCCGTGTTCCAGCAGATTAGGGTCTATTATTTCTCCAGATGTTTTTTTTCCTGCAGATGTATGATTCTTTCTTTTCTTTTTTTCTGAGCCATGGTCTCACTCTGTCATCCAGGCTAGAGTGCAGTGGCATGATCGTGGCTCAGCGCAGCCTTGACCTCCTGGGCTCAGGTAATCCTTCTGCCTCAGCCTCTTGAGTGACTGGAACTACAGGTGCATGCCATTATGCTTTGCTAATTTTTTTATTTATTTTTTATTTTTTTGAGTTGGAGTCTTACTCTGTTGCCCAGACTGGAGTGCAGTGGCTGCTCCTGGCCACCGCAGGCTTGACCTACAGGGTTCCAGAGATCCTTCCACCTCAACCTTCCAAGTAGCTGGAACTACAGGCACGCGCTACCACACCCGGCTAATTTTTTGATTTATTGTAGAGATGAGGTCTTGCCTAGTTGCCCAGGTGGGTCTCGAACCCATGGGCTCAGCCAATCCACTCACCTCAGCCTCCCAAGGCACGGGATTACAGGCTGAGCCACCTAGCCTGGCAATTTTTTTTTTAGAGGGACAGGATCTTGCTATGTTGCCCAGGCTGGTCTGGAACTCCTGGGCTCAAGAAGTCCTCTGGCCTCAGCCTCCCAAAATGCTGGTGTTATAGGCATGAGCCACTATGCCTGGCCTGCAGATGTATGTCTCAATTGTTGGTTTGTTTTTTTATTCATTTGCCTGTGGCTACTAAGATGGATCAGCCTATAAACACCTGTTGGATGATTTACTTTTCTTCCAAATATGACATCACTATAGAAGCCCTTCTCCCCACAGCAGCCAAAACAATCTTCTCAAAACATAACTCAGGCCTTTTCATACCCCTTATCATGGTTCAGAGGCTGCAATGTTCCCAGTGTCAGCAACCTCAGCACCAGCCTCTGGGAACTCCCATCCCAGGCTTTGCCCTGAATGGACACAACCTCATTTGTTACTCACAGTCCCATTTTACAGATGAGACAGTTGAGGCACTGGGACATTTGTCACTTTCTCAAGGTCATACAACCAGCATGTGATGCAGGTGGAATTGGAACCCTGCCTGGTCTGAGTTGGGAGCATTCACCTGTGGGTCCTGCCATCATGCCTAGACTACAATTCTGGCTCTTCCCCCAGGCAGGCCTGTAAAGCCCTCCATGACTTGGACCCTGCCAACCACCTGCCTGCATCTCATGCCTCGTTCCCTCCATCAGCTGGGTCTCATCACACTGGCTCTGGTGGGACTCCTCAGTTGGTGGGACTTTTCCCCAAAGCTCTTTGTGCTGCAGGCTTCCTCCCCACCCTGACCTCCGGCCTCAGCATCCTCCTGAGTGTCTCTTTCAGAGGATCTGATTTCTTTTCTTCCTGCCACTGAGTCCCGGCTGTAGTTATTGTGTTTGTTTCTTGTTTGTCTTCTCCAGCGTTAAAAAACAACTCAGTAAGGACAAGAAGCTTGTCTGACTGCTCACGCGGTCATCTCTGGAACCGTCCTGGTGGCCAGCACTTGTGAGGTCAATGAACATGGGAGGCAGGCAGACCGGAAGGAGGGGCTGCTTTGGGGTTTCTTTCTGTGTTTGCACACAAAGTTCCGTGTCTTTCATTTTCAGGATCTTGGCAAATTCAGTAGTGCAGGTGTGCCAGCCCTCGTCTCTGGATTGAGTCTGACTTTTCACAGTCCAAAACCATGCAGGGACCATCCTCTTGCTTTGGATCACTGGCGAGTGATTTTTTGAGGACACAGTCCTAGAAGTGAGATTTCTGACTTCAAGAACATGAGTATTTTAAAATCAAAACACTGTATTGTATCAGCCTTGAAAAGGAAGGGAATCCTGCCATGTGCTACAACATGGATGAACCTTGAGGGTGTTATGCTGGTCACAAAGAGTGAAATAAGCCAATCACAAAAAGACGAATACTGTATGATTCCACATACAAGAGGCAACTAGAGTAGTGACATATTTGTGGAGACCGAGGCAGAATGCTGGTTGCCAGGGACTTCAGGGATGGGGAAGGGGAAGTTGTTTCAGATTTGTAAGACGAGAAAGCTCTGGAGATCTGTTTCACAGTGATGCAAAGCTACTCAGCACTACTGAACCATGCACCCCAAAATGGTTAAGATGATAAACTTCATGTTATATGTCTTTTTACTATAATTTTAAAAACTTATTGTATCATTTCATGCTAAAACAATGTTAAGATACACTTTAAATAGGAGTTTTTAAAAACCCCCCTCCGATCCCACTCTTCTGACAGATTACTTCCTTTGCCTTTTGTTGCTTTCCAGGCCTGGTCCAGAGGCACACTTATGTTCACATAGTTAAAATCATAATATATTTTCTTCAAGGATTCACACATTTGTCCCTGGTTACCACAGAATCACCACTGTTATGCCTTCAGTGACTGCGTGTAGTTGCGTCTTGGTAACCTTCTGCAGTCGACTTCAGTCTGTCAGTGGTTCTTTCCTCTTCCCTCCCCTTGGACTCCAGAGTACATCAAGATGGCAGATCAGTACGTCCCCGTCCCAGGAGGGCCCAATAACAACAATTACGCCAACGTGGAACTGATTGTGGACATTGCCAAGAGAATCCCCGTGCAGGTCAGGGGGCCCGGGCGTGCCCATAGTGGAATGAGTGTGCCCTGGGTTTTAAATCCCTTGATGCCTTAGTTAGAAGGGGCGGAGGGGCCAGGAGGGGATTCTGAATTCCTGGGCTGAGCATCTGGTGTGATGGGAGGCTGGTTCGTGAAAGAAGATCACTGTTCACCCCTTTCTGTGTCTGCAGGCGGTGTGGGCTGGCTGGGGCCATGCCTCTGAAAACCCCAAGCTTCCAGAGCTGCTGTGCAAGCATGGAATTGCTTTCTTAGGTAGGGTGCGTTTCCATCAGAGAGAGACATGGGAACTGGGGCGTTGATGGGACACTCAGCCAGGTCAGGTTCTCCTGTTAGTCCTGTCCTGTGAGGTGGAGGTCAGTTTTGATGTCCCATGTCACATTTCCATTGTAAGAAGCAAGTAAGTCCCAGACTAGGAGAGCACATGGGTGAGTCAGCCAGTCCATAGAAATAGGAATGATGCTGGGGCAAGCAGAACATTCTGCTGGGGTTCGTGCTTGTCCTGAGGTACCAGTCATGCTCAGATTGCTGACAAGGTTTAGGGTCACGTGTCTAAGGAGGCCACACCGTGTTCAGGCTGGTCTTAGGCCTTTAGCATGCCCTAAGACCCTGGCAGTGAGAGCCTCTTGTCTCTACTGCTTATTAGGCAAAATGATACTTACTGTCTTGTGGCCTCTGTTGGTTGCAAGATTTGTATTGGCATTCGTTAACTCTGTGTGTGTAGTTACTTTCTGAAGTCTTGTGTGGTTTAGGGGAACTGCTCACTTTCATGTAGTAAATCCCTGCTGCTCCTTACTTCTGGGCCTGAACACAGCCTTGCCCTTTGTGGAGCAGCTCAGTGCAGAGCAACACCTGATATTAGCCTGCATGACTGACTGCATGGTGACCTGTGTCCGCTGATCTTTGCTATATTCATAGACTCTGAGTACACGTGGGCATTCATTCTGACTGGTGGTCTCATGGAATTCTCATGATCCAGTCTTAGCGCCTCTGGAGTTTGCTGGTCCAGCCCACTGGACAAACTATGGCTCCCAGGCCAAATCCATCCTACTGCCTGCTTTTATAAATAAAGTTTTGTGGAAACACAGTCAGTCATTTGTTTACACCCATTGGGTGTATGGTTGCTTTCACCTTACACGGGCAAAGTTGACAGAGAGCTGCAGGCCCACAGAGCTGAAAATATTTCCTGTCTAGCTCTTTATAGAAAAGGTTTGCTAACCCACAGACTAACTCTTTGAGCTGTTAGCTTGCCTCCCTGGTTTAGCTTTCTTCCTTCCCTGCAAAGTGAATTTTGAGTTCACCACTGTGGCAGAGGTTGTAACTCACCTTAGGCTGCAATCCATGTGCATTGAAAGTTGACTGATGCGATAGCAGGCTAACATATGTTTTTCTTCTTGATGTGAGCTAATGAGTTCCTTGAGAGCCAGGCCCCGAGAGCTTGTCTTTGTGATCTGGTCCCCACCTAGCCCCACCATCGTGCACTTGATTGGCACTCCACCTCAAGGCCTCATGGCTGACTTGACTTGGCTTCGCTTCTTGTCTCTGACTCCTTAGGCCCTCCCAGTGAGGCCATGTGGGCCTTGGGAGATAAGATTGCCTCCACCATCGTGGCCCAGACACTGCAGGTCCCAACCCTGCCCTGGAGTGGAAGTGGTAAGAGACCCTCATCTTTGCTTTGGGGGAGCTTCTCAGCCCAGGCTTGGTAATGTAAGCAGCTGGGGAGACAGCGTGTGCTTTTAAAAATTATTTTAATAGCTGGGCTCGGTGGCTCAGCCTGTAATACTGCGCCTTGGGAGGCTGAGGTGAGTGGATTGGCTGAGCCTGCGGGTCCGAGACCCGCCTGGGCAACTTGGCAAGACCTCATCTCTACAATAAATCAAAAACCAACCTGGTGTGACAGCACATGCCTGTAGTTCCAGCTACTTGGAAGGCTGAGGCGAAAGGATCGCCGGAGCCCAGCAAGTCGAGGCTGCGGTGGCCGGGAGTGGCCACTGCACTCCAGTCTGGGCGAGAGAGTGAAACTCCACCTCAAAAAAAAAAAAAATTATTTTATTAAAAAATTTTAAAAGTTGTACAATTTGTTATAGACAACTTAGAAAATATGAGAAGTACAAAAAAGTGGTAGAAATCTTCCATAATCCTATGACCCAATGTTGAACATTTATTACATTCTAGGCATCTACTTTTTCAACCTTTTTTGTAGGTATATCCTTTGAAAGACCAGCTCTTCTATTTATTAGTTTTTTCAACTAATAAGTATGTTTTATGTTAATAAATATACTTTACACTATTTCAATTGCCTGCATAGGATCATATCATATGGATATACCATAATGTGCTTAACAGTCCTCTGTTGTTATATAGCTCAGGTTGTTTCCAGTTCTTCCTTCTCTCCTCTCCTCCCTTCTCTCCCTCCCTCCCCCACTCCTTCTCCCTTGCCTCCCTCCCTTCCTGCCTCCCTTCCTTCTTTCTGTCAGGGTCTTACCCTGTTTCCCAGGCTGGAGCAAAGTAGCATGATCATGGCTCCCTGTAATCCTCCCGCTTAAGTCTCCTGAGTAACTGGGACAATAGGTGCGCGCTACTGTACCAGGCTAATTTTTGATTTTTGTAGAGATGAGACCTTGCTATGTTACCTAGGCTGGTCTTGAACTCCTGGGCTCAAGCATTCCTTCTGCCATGGCCTCCCAAAGTGCTGGGTTTATAGGTGTGCGCCACTGCACCCAGCCCCCAGTTTATTTTTTCTAATTTAAAAAATATTAAGTGAAACCAACCTGGTTAGCTCTTCCCCAGCCCTGGCCTGGGGGTAGGTGTAAAAAAAAAAAAAAAAAAAAAATAGAAGAAATGGAACTTTGATAATCTTATAGCTAAATCTATATGTGGATTTTAATTATTTTCTTAGGACAAATTCCTAAAAGTGAAATTTCTAGGACAAATTTAAAAATAAACCAAACTGCAGAAAGTCTCAGGAGTTTCCTGTTAAATTGGATTTTTTTCCTCTAAAGTTTGAATTTAAAATTTAAAATAGAAAATGTATTTGTTTTTGTTTGTTAAAGGTTCATGTGGTTGCCTTTGGGAGACCCAGTCTCAGTTTCTTCAGCTTAGTTTCCCCTTCAGGTTGAGTCAGTCCTTGAGGAGATGAAGAGCCACTGTGGGAGGCTGAAGGGATGTCTCTGTATTTTGTGGGGCTGGAGGCTTGGGCCCAGAGTGGCTTTGGCGAGGAGAGGTCCTGTGGCTTCTGGGTAGAGTATATGCCTGCTGTCCTTGGGCGGAATCAGCTTTCTTTTTGTCTCTCCAGGCCTGACGGTGGTGTGGACAGAAGATGATCTGTGGCAGGGGAAGATTATCAGTGTCCCAGGCGGCGTTTACGACCAGGGTTGCGTGAAGGATGTAGATGAGGGCTTGGAGGTACGTGCAGAGCCTGTGAGGCTGTGGTGTCAGAGCCATCTCCCCATCCTGGGAGAGGATGGCAGGTGTCTCATCTCTAAAGAGGTCTGTTTGTCCTTTGTCCCAGGCAGCAGAAAAAATCGGTTTTCCATTGATGATCAAAGCCTCTGAAGGCGGTGGAGGGAAAGGAATCCGGAAGTCTGAGAGTGCCGAGGACTTCCCTATCCTTTTCAGACAAGTGAGCTGTTCTTACAGTGTATTTTCCCACGTGTCTTTGGGAATTGTTTTACTCAGATTATTTCTGTTAGCATTATTCTGTGTTGATCCAGAAGACGTTTGCAGGAGCCGACTTATACATTTTTACTCACAGAAGCCCATGGTTTTGTATTGATTTTTCCATTATTTCCTAGGATGGCTTGATCCTGTGAATCAGGGCTTTTTGGAAATGTTTTCAGGGATACAGAGTCAAACAACTGTTTGCAACTATGTTGGCCTATCAAAGGATGGGATATTTTGTAAATTTTTATACTCCTGGCACTTTTAATGTTTCTAGATGACCAATTTTTGTTGTAGGAACTAATTGCTTATTTACTCATTTGGAGTTAGTATTCCTCTTTTAAAACATTGTGCCTGTTATTAGCAATGGAGTGCAGTGGCATGATCACAGCTGACCGCAGCCTCAACCCTCTGTGCTCAGGAGATCCTTCTGCCTCAGCCTCCCGAATTGCTGGGACTACAGGTGTTTGCCACCATACCAGGCTAATTTTTTTGATTTTTGTAGAGATGGGGGTCTCACTATGCTGCCTAGGCTGGTCTTGAACTCCTGGGCTCAAGCAGTCGTCTCACCTCAGCCTCCCAAAGTGCTGGGATGTCAGGTATGAGTTACCACACCAGGCCTATGAAACTAATCTGAATATAACAAGTCAAACAATCAATAATGTGTTAAAAATAAAAAAGGAAAGGTACCTTTCACCATCGCCTCCCAGCTCCCTCTTTTCTCAGATGTAACCAGTGTTAGCAACTGGGTCTCATTCCAGTACCTTCACGGTATATATTTTTAAGTAGACATTCATACAGTGTATTATTCTTCTTATGAGTGGGATCGTCTCCTATATTATTGCAAATTGATTTTTTTGATACTCAATTTGTCTTAGAATTGTTGCGTGTGAATACTTCTTTTTTTTATTTTTTATTTTGAGTCAGAGTCTTACTCTGTTGCCCAGGCTGGAGTGTAGTGGTATGCTCATGGCCACCGCAGCCTCGACTTGCTGGATTTAGGCGATACTTCTGCCTCAGCCTTCCAGGTAACTGGAACGACAGGTGCACGCTACCATGCTTGGCTTATTTTTTGATTTATTGTAAATATGAGGTCTCATCAAGTTGCCCAGGCTCAAACCCCTGGGCTGAGGCAATCCTCTCGCCTCAGCCTCCCACAGTGCTGGGATGACAGGCTTGAGCTATGGCACCTGGCCTGTGAACACTTCTTTTTACACGGTCTTTAAGAATCTCTAAGTGACATGCCTTGAAGACAGTGCCTTTCAGCTCTTGGAAGGGAGAGTAAGTCTGTCCTTAGCTTCCACCAGGAGAGCTGACCGGGAAAGTGCAAGAAGTAGGGGGAAGAGAAGTGTAGTGTGTGGAGGTCCCATTCTTGTTCAAAGAAACTGTGTGTGTTGCCATATGCATAGAAGAAAATAACCAGTTTGTACACCAGACTCTAGATGCATTCTCTTTAGGGGATGGGATTGTGGGGAAATTTCACAGTTTTTATAATGTCTGACTTTAAAAAAACAGGTGAGAATGTCATGTCTTTGAGACAACAGAAGTAAAGATCAGCAGAATCCTGGAGAAGACCCCTCACCACATCACTGCTGTTGTTTCATGCTCTCTTCTGAGAGCTTCCATAAGCTTCTGGAGCTGGTTTCCCCGTGAAGATCAGACTACTGTACTTCCCCCGCAGGTGCAGAGTGAGATCCCGGGCTCGCCCGTCTTTCTCATGAAGCTGGCCCAGCACGCCCGTCACCTGGAGGTGCAGATTCTTGCCGACCAGTACGGGAATGCCGTGTCTCTCTTTGGGCGAGACTGTTCCATCCAGCGGCGGCATCAGAAGATCATCGAGGAGGCACCTGCCACCATTGCCCCAATGGCTGTGTTCGAGTTCATGGAGCAGGTGCGTGTAGCAGAGCTCGGGGGCGGCTGCAGTGGGAGCCATCTCAGCTCAGAGCCAGCAGGAACTTTCTAATGGCCCACATGGCTGGAAGATGGAGTGGGTACCCAGAAGAGGGAGAAAGCCCCATTCTAGAGATGACTTAAGCGTCACACAGGATTGTTGGATTCGCTGACCAGTGAGGTCTCAAAATATTTCTTTTCCTTTCTTTCTTTTCTCTTTCAGAGACCAGGTCTCACTCTGTCACCCAGGCTGGGGTGTAGTGGTGTAATCATAGCTCACTGTAACTTTGAACTCCTGGGCTCAAATACTTTTCCTCCCCAGACCCTCCCTCACACCCCACCCCCAGTAGCTGGGACTACAGGTGCACGCCATCATTCCTGGCTGATTTTTAATAGTTTTTTAAAATAGAGACAGGGTCTTGCTATGTTGCCCAGACTGGTCTGGAACTCGTGGCCTCAAGTGCTCCTCTAATCTCAGCCTCTCTCAAAGTTCTGGACACCATACCTGGCCCAAAATATTTCATACATATCAGGTGTTCAGTCTTCATTTGATCAGGGAATGGTCACCATTTACAAGCATCTGGAAAGACCCTGGGAACCCCTCGGCCCCTGTGTCTTTGCAGTGCGCCGTACGCCTGGCCAAGACTGTGGGCTACGTGAGCGCAGGGACAGTTGAATACCTCTACAGCCAGGATGGCAGCTTCCACTTCCTCGAGCTGAACCCTCGCTTGCAGGTGGAACACCCCTGCACAGAAATGATCGCTGATGTCAATCTGCCAGCCGCCCAGCTACAGGCAAGGAAACGGGCTTCCTGCCCTGGGGCTTCTTCCACCCTGGGTGGGGCTGTGTCCTGCTCCCATCAGTCCTTCCTCCCATCTCTTGACTTGCTGTCCCTCGGAAGTGGCTGTCTTGATGTGTGTGTAGCATAGGGAACCCTGAAAGCCGATGACCTAATGTGGTTTGTCACTTTTGTCTGGCCATAGAGCCCTTTGACAAACCAGTAAAAGCTATGGACCTCCTTGACAAAATGTGTTTCGTATAATTTTAGGATATTTGTGGTCCCTGATACCCATTCATAGACCCAGAGAAGTATTTCTTAACCTTTTTTTCATTATTACTCCTTCCCACTGCCCCCAGGAACCTTTTAAGACTTTTTAAAAAAATCCTAGTCCTTTTCCTATAAAATTTTAATATCACAGATATACTACATATCTGTTTAAGTGTAATAGACATATTTGTGCTTTACACATAAAAAGAGTCCAATTATTTTTTATTCCCCGAAACAAATATTTGCCCGCTTGGAAGCAATATCTCCCTTGTTAATACATGACCCAGAGTTATAAACTCTTGGGTTAATACAAATTCTAATTTTTTAAGATTAAAGTTTTCTTCCCTCCCTCCCTCCCTTTCATAAAATTATTCATTTATTTATTTTTTAGTTGGAGTCTCACTCCATCGCCCAGGCTGGAGTGCAGTGGCACACTTGGCCACCCCAGCGTTGACCTGCTGGGCTCCAGCTATCAGTCCGCCTCAGCCAAGTAGCTGGAACTACAGGCGTGCGCTACCACGTCCAGCTAATTTTTATATTTTATTGTAGAGATGAGGTCTCGCCAAGTTGCCTGGGCTGTTATTGAACCCACGGGCTCAGGCAGTCCACTCGCTCCAGCCTCCCAAAGTGCTGGGATTACAGGCTGAGCCACCGAGCCTGACCATAGAGTCATTTTAACCTTTTTTCTAGTTATTTGTGCAATTAACACTCATACACTGCCTATAGATCCACCAGCTGCCACACTAGCCTTCTCTGTCTCTGTTCATTTGTGTGGTTGCTGTTTTTGGCTCAGCCTTCTAAGCAATGGTTCCTCTGTACCTTCATGATATATGGCCTCTGAGTACTTCACTATAAGAGCCTCTTAGAACAAGGGCATTCTGGTACAATGCTCCAGTACAGTTATGACATGCAGGAAATACAACGGGATGCCATTATGTATCTGATATCATATATATCATCCACATTAAAAATTTTCCCAGTTGTTCCAATAATGTCCCCTTATGGCTATTTCTGGTTTATTTTCTTAAACCCAAGAGCTAACCTAGTATGACACATTCCATTTCATGGTCATGTCTCTTTAATCTGGAGCCATTGCCCAGTCTTATTTTTTATTTTTATGTTTTATATTTTGAGTCAGAGTCTCACTCTGTCACCCAGGCTGGAGTGCAGTGGCATAATCACAGCTTACCATAGCCTTGACCTCCTGGGCTCAGGAGAACCTTCTGCCTCAGCCTACTGAGTAGTTTGGACTACAGGCATGCACCACTACGCCCGGCTAATTTTTAAAATATTTTTATAGAGATGAAGTCTTGCCATGTTGCCCAGACTAGTCTTAAACTCCTGGCCTCAGGCAATCCTACCCCTTTGGCCTCCCAAAGTGCTGAGATTACTACAGGTGTGAGTCACTGTACCCGGCATCATTCTTGACATTGGCATTTTTGAAAAGTTCAGGCAAGGTGTCCCTCACTTTGGATTTGTCTAATTATTCCTGATTAGATTCACACTAAATATTTTGGCAGACTATCGCTCAGGTGATGTTGTGTCCTTAGCACACCCCATCAGGAGGCACCGAGTGTTAAATTTGATCATTTGGTTAGGCTGGTGTCCATAAATGTCTGTTTCTTACGCATTCTTCATGCCCAGCACCCCCCACCCCGTGGGCATCCTTTACAAAACCCCCTTGAACTCTGCAGCCAGTATGGTTCTGTCTTACCGTCTGCAGCATCCAAAGTCTGACATATCTACTTGATTCACATGTTTTCTGTCATGTGTTGTTTCACAAATGTCGCTGCTTTCCCCAACTGTGCTATTTGCTCTGCTGGGGCAGGTTCACACCTCATGGCTTTTTCTGCCTTTGTGCCTCCCACCACCGTAGAGCACCATGTTGTCTACAGAGTTGGTGTTCGGTGTATCAGAAACCATCGACTGAGCCCCTTGCCATCCCTTCTACCCCTGTGCTGGCATTTTGGGACCGAGTTCTGGTAGCACTGACAGTCTGTGGGGCGGGTCTCTTGATGTTAGATCGCCATGGGCGTGCCACTGCACCGGTTGAAGGACATCCGGCTTCTGTATGGAGAGTCGCCATGGGGGGTGACACCCATTTCTTTTGAAGCCCCTTCAAGCCCTCCCCTTGCCCGAGGCCACGTCATTGCCGCCAGAATCACCAGTGAAAACCCGGATGAGGCAAGTTGTGGGGATCCCTATGTTTCTGCCATCTCAAATTTCCCTGCATGGAGGGGACCCCAGATGCTGGCCTTGGAAGAGACACCCAGAAACTGTCTAGACTTCTCAGTTTACAGGTGTGGAAACTGAGGTACAGGAAGGGACACGTCATGGTTTATTGGCTTATTGGGTTTTTTAGATTACTGCCAGGCTCCTGGCAGACCCTTCCCATGTCTCAGTGCTTGTCTATGTGACACTGCTGTCATTGAGCATTGCCACTCGCGTTACAGCTAGAGTCTGGGGTAACTGGCCTCCCACCTCCTGCCTGGGACCTGCTGAGCCTGTGGCCAAGGCCTGTTAGTGGATTCCAAAGGCCAGGCCCATTTAGGGGATGAGAGCCATGTTTAGAGCCTGAGTTCTTAGATTTCTGGCCCCATGTGCTTCTTGCCATATTATAAATAAAGTATCGGGTCCTTTTGTGACTGGGTTTTACTTGAGTCTTAAAAACCAAACTGCCTGGCATCTGTTTACATGTGCACCGATTACTGACTGTCGCAGGACTCATTAGTCTACTTAATCTTTTCATTGTTACATTCAGTAAATGTGGGATAAGAAGCCATCTCCCCTTTTATTAAATAATTTTAAGCTATGGTAGCTGTATTCATTTGGGATTCTTGGCTGCAAGCAAAATGCCAACTTTGGTCTCTTCCCCTGTAGGGCTTTCATCATCCAGAGTTGGAAATCTAACCTCTCTGCAAAAGGGGAATCTTTTGGAGGGGTGATGTCTTGTTCTCAGGGGCCTGGGAGGATGAAGCACCAGTGTGGAAATGGCCCAGGCACCTTCAGTGCTCCATCCCTCACCTCCCTGCGCCTCTCCTGAAACAGATGTCCTCTATTGCTTAATTCAGGAGCCCCAGTTCCAGCGAGAGGGTCTAGGTCCACCCACCCTTACAAACGCTGTCCCTAGAGGGCATCAGGTATATGTTGGCAGCAGCCTGGCTGGCGGGGTGAAGCAACTGCAAGGGCCCCCCAGAGTACCCTGTGGACTTTCACATCCAGAGTTGGAAATGTAACCTCTCTGAATTTTTTTTTTTTGAGTCAGAGTCTCACTTTGTCACGCGGACTGGAGTACAGTAGTGTGATCAAGGCTTACTGCAGCCTTGACCTCCTGGCCTCAGGCGATCCTTCCGCCTCAGCCTTTTGAGTGGCTGGGACTACAGGTGTGCACCACCTCACCTGGCTAACTTTTTTATTTCTTGGAGCAATGGGTCTCACTGTGTTGCTCAGGCCACTCTCAAACACTTGGCCTCAAGTGACCTTTCTGCCTTGGCCTCTCAAAGTGCTGGGAGAGACTGCTCGGTGCTCAGTGTTTTATCGATCTCCCCAAGCTTTTGGTTGTGGTCGTGGTTCCTGGGCTTTCCCAGGACTGAATTCTGAGGAGAATGCATCTGGAGTAATGATGTCTTCCGTTTTGCTTTTTCTGTCTGGGCTCCAGGGGTTTAAGCCGAGCTCTGGGACGGTTCAGGAACTGAATTTCCGCAGCAGCAAGAATGTGTGGGGCTACTTCAGCGTGGCAGCTGCTGGAGGCTTACACGAGTTTGGCGACTCCCAGTTTGGGCACTGCTTCTCCTGGGGAGAGAACCGGGAAGAGGCCATTTCGTCAGTATCTCCTCCCTCCCTTCTCCTCCTCCTTCTGCCTTTCCTCCCTCCCTCCTTCCTTCCTCCTTTCTTTCTTCCTTCCCTCCTCCCCTCCTCTCCTCTTTCCCTCCTCCCTCCTCCCCTGCCTTCTCTCCTCCTTACCTTTCATCCTTTAAGGAGCTGAAAGTTCCCTTGTGGCTTCAGAGGCAGTAGGAGGCCGAGGGAGGTGACTCACAGGGCAGATCCTATTTTAAATGCCCTGTGCTTGAAGTTCAAGATCGAAGCCTGCCCTTTTAACCCTCATTGGCGATCCACAGTGTAAAGGGAGCTCACCAAGGTCATTTGGGCTTGAACTAATAAAACTTCTAACTGGAAGGCGATCCAAAGATTCTTCAAGGTGACACTAACTGTTTAAAAGGTTCTGAGTAAGAGTTGACAAAAAGGGGGAGGGAGACTGCTTTAAATGTAATTGTCCCTGGTTGGCTGTATTTCACGCCTGAGACTAAATTTCTTAGGGGTGTGACCTGCTGTGAACCACTCACCACCCTGAGGCCTGTGACAGCAGCCTCACCTCCCCAGCCCAGCCAAGTCCAACGGCTGAGAAACCCACATTGACAAAGGGACCCCCAAGTTCTGATGCACCATGTCTGACATTTCTCCTGCCTTGACGTGGGCGCAGAAAGGTAAAACACCAGTTCACTTTGTAATTAAGACATTCTCATGGAAGTGAATACCTGCTCTTTAAAGTGAAGAATCCCAAAGGCATTGTGGACATTTTATTTCAAAAACCTTAAAATCTATCCTCTGGCATTTAGCCATGAATTAAATGGACTTTGGCCATTTTGATGATTAGGCTTTCTTTGCCAGCTTATAATAACTAATTTTGATCATGCTCAGTGAAAAAATCGAGCTTCTTGAAGCTTAAGAAGGATGGCAGCAAATAAGGTTTAAATGGAGGAGGTGGGGCCAGGCTCGGTGGCTCAGCCTGTAATCCCGCGCCTTTGGGAGACTGAGGTGAGTAGATTGCCTGAGCCCGCGGGTTCGAGACCCACCTGGGCAACTTGGCGAGACCTCATCTCTACAATAGATCAAAAATTAGCCAGGCATGGTAGCGCGTGCCTGTAGTTCCAGCTACTTGGAAGGCTGAGGCAGAAGGATCATCGGAGCCCAGCAGGTCGAGGCTGAGGTGGCCGGAAGCAGCCACTGCACTCCATTCTGGGTGACAGAGTGAGACTCCAACTCAAAAAAATAAAAAAATAAATGGAGGAGGTGGGAGGCAGGTCAGCTGGCCCAGCCCACTCCACATGAAATGACCTGTGGCTTATCTATGCTATGAGTGACCACCAGCAGCTTCAGCAGAATTCAGAGAGAGAAATTGATTTTCCTTTTTTTTTTTAAACAGGGTCTGTCACCCAGATCAGAGTGCAGTGGTGCAGTCGCCACTCACTGCAGCCTTGAACTTGACTCCATCCTGCTTATAGTCTTCCCGCTTCAGCCTCCTGAGTTGCTGGAACTACAGGCATGAGCCACCACACCTGGCTAATTCTTTCATTTTCAATTTTTTATAGAGACAGGGTCTTGCTGTGTTGCTCAGTCTGGACTCAAATTCCTGGCCTGAAACAATCCTTCCACCTCGCCCACTCAAAGTGCTGGGATTATAGACATGAGCCACTGTGCCCAGCCCCAGCCCCAGCTTTTGTTTTTGCTGCTAGTCAAAGATTGAGGGAGAAGCCAAAGATTGTTCACATTGATACCATTAAAAGGTACCGAGTACAGTAATATAGTTGAAAAAACAAGGGGTGTTTCACGTTTCTGCATCCATGTCAAGACAGGAGAAATGTCATGTGGTTGTCAGAATTTAGGGGCTCATTTGTCAATGTGGGTTTCTTGGCTCTGCAGAAAAAACTGTGGCAAGTGTGGACTTGGCCGGGCTGGGGACACGAGGCTGTTGTCACAGACCTCAGGGTGGTTAGTAGTTCACAGCAAGTCACACCCTTCGGGGGTTCAGCTGTCCTAGTTTTCCTGGAACTGGTTTCCCGAGATGAGGAATTTCATGGCTAAAGCTGGGAATGTCCTGAGCAAACAGGGGTGATGAGTTGGTCACCCCTGAGTCCCATGTCTTAGCTCTCAGATTCAGGTTCCAGCCCACAGTGGGCTTGCCGTAGCCTGTTGACACTCTTGTTTGACCCCACTGGGTCTTAATTGTCTCACCCCTAAAGTGGAGTTGTTATCTCCTCTTGCCTGTGTCTGCTGAGAGCATGCAGGAACACTGCAACGTGTGAGAGCTTTCTCTCCCATGGAAGTGGAGGGTCATTCAAACACCTGCTTTTCTTTAGGGCATCCCCCAGACATTCTTCCTGTGAGGCGCTGGGTCGTGGAAGGTTAGCCCCCTGAACTGGTGCTCATGGAGGTCAGAGGCCGTGGGTTGGGGAGCCAGGTGACAGAGCTGCCTGTCTGCAGGTGCACCTTGTGGATGGCGAGTGGGAGGCTTTTGAAGGTTAAGAGGAGTGAGGCAGAGTGACTGGTCCTCTATCTATTAATAATTAACTATTATAGGCCAGGCATGGTGGCTCACACCTGTGTACTCCCAGTACTCTGGAGGCCGAGGCCCGGAGTTCAAGACCAGCCCAAGCAACATAATGAGACCTCTATCTTTAGCAAAAAAAAAAAATTTAAAATTTAGCCAAGCATGTGGGCACACACCTATCATCCCAGCTACTTGGGAGGCTGAAGCAGGAGGATCATTTGAGCCCAGGATTTTAAGACTGCAGTGAGCTATGATCATGCCCCTGCCCTCCAACCTGGACAACAGAGCAAGACCCTGTTTCTAAAAAACAATAATAGTAGTAACAATTAACTGTTATATTCAATAATTATAATAATGGTAACTAATCACATCTATAGCAGTTAACATTTATTGATCAATGGCTACATACTTCACCTAAGTTGCCTCATCTTAATCCTCAAACATCCTCTTGAAGTCAGAGTTATTTCTCCATTTTTCAGATGAGGAAACTGAGGCCCATAGCCACTTGCCCAGAATGACTCAGCCAGAAAACCGTGGTACTGAGGTTGACTTGTTGGCTGACTGACTCAGGACCCTCTCCTAACTCCTGTGCTTTTCTGGTTCTCTGAGAACCATATTATGAACTCCACCTGTTGATGCACGTATGAATTTGGAAAACAACCTGTGTGCCTCTCCCCTCAAGGAACATGGTGGTGGCTTTGAAGGAGCTGTCCATCCGGGGCGACTTCAGGACCACTGTGGAATATCTCATTAACCTCCTGGAGACCGAGAGCTTCCAGAACAATGACATCGACACCGGCTGGTTGGACCATCTCATTGCGGAGAAAGTGCAGGTAGGGAGGGGGCTGCCTCTGGGTGGTCAAGACACCTGGCTCCCCGAGGATGGTGAACCGCAGTCTTTCCTAGGCCGAGAAGCCAGATATCATGCTCGGGGTGGTGTGCGGGGCCTTGAACGTGGCAGACGCAATGTTCAGAACCTGCATGACGGATTTCCTGCACTCCTTGGAGAGGTAGGGTACACGGGCCATTCTTTTCCCCTCGTGCGATAGTGCCTGTGGCATGGAAGACAAAATGTGCTTTTTGGGTGGCAAATCGGTCACCAGGCACTTGGTGAACCCTTCCCACAGGCTTGCACCTCTGGAATTCCTGGCATAAGCCTGGCTGCCCTCCTGGGGGTGGGGAGCTGGGACGGGAGGGTGGATGGGGGATGGGATTCCCAAGGCCAAGGCAGTCGCTGGCAGTGTGCTGATTTGTGTACTCATGATACTCAGTTCAGACGTCAAGGAGGTGGACTTGAGAAGCAAAGCAAGTGCCAGGTCATGTATACAGATGGTTTCTTCCCCAGACCCTCCCTGAATCACAAGGTGACAGATGAAATGGGCTAGAATGGAAAGCGGCCATTCTGTTAGGATAGGCCAGGGTTTCTCAACCTCAGCACCATTGACATGAGGTCTTGCTGTGTTGCCCAACTAGTCTGGAACTCCTGAGCTGCAGCAGTCCTCCTGGCTCAGCCTTCCGAAGTTCTGAGATTACAAGCGTGAGCCACCGTACCAGGCCCTGGGTGACTTTTTTTAAATCCAGGGGATAACTGCAGAGTCCTTGGTTCCTTCTGAGGCTGACCGAGGCTCTGTCTTCTCTTTCAGGGGCCAGGTCCTCCCAGCAGATTCTCTGCTGAACATTGTGGATGTGGAATTAATTTATGGAGGTGTTAAGTACATTCTCAAGGTAAATGCCTCTGTGCTTCTCTGCTGTTTCCCCAGGTCTGAGGGGCTTGTTTTTTCCGTGAACTTCCCCTGCAGTGGATTTTCTCATGCTCAAGTCTGAGCACTCGTGTTCCTCAGGAATCGTGTTTCCCCATGTCGTCTGTGACCTTGAAACATAAACACTTGGGATTCAGAACATTTAGGGCTGAGCAATATGCAGAGGGCCCAGTGGAGTGTGTTTTAGCTTCCTGTGACTGTCCTAACAAATTACCACAAGCTGCTGGCTTAAAACAACAGGAATTTATTCTCTAATTCCAGAGGCCAGAAGTCCAAAGTCGCAGCCTTGGCTGGGCCATGATCTTTCTGAAGGCACTAGGGAAGGATTTGTTCCCAGCCTCCCCAGCTGCTGGTGGTCACTGGCCTTCCTTGGCTTTCCTTGGCTTGTGGATGTGTTACTCTAAGCTCTGCCTCTGTCGTTACATGGCGTTTTCCCTTGTGTGTGCGTGCGTGTGTGTGTGCGTGCATGTGCATGTACATTGTCTTCCTTCTTTGCCTGTATCTCCATGTCTCTTCTAGTCTATGAACACCAGTCACATTGGATTTAGTGCCCACCCTAATCCAGCACAATTTCTTCTTAACTAAATACATCTGCAAAGACCCTATTTCCAAATAAAGTCACAATGAGGTTCCTGGGAGGCCATGAACTTGGGGACTGTGTTCTACCCAGCAGAGTGAGTATGGCAGGGCCTTTGCTGAGCTGGCGTGGTGATCTGGGTCTGTTTCTGGGGGCAGTGAGGCTGGTTTTATTCTGCATCTCTGCATCAAGAATCCCCCTGTGGATTTCTGGCCTCTCCTCTGTCTTACTGCCAGCGACCCTCGTGCTTACTCTGATTACTCTCCTTTGGATGTGTCTAGTTACCCTCCTGGACTTTCCATGGTCAATTCAGCAGAGAGTGTCAGAGAATATCTGAGTTACGTGGGGACAGGCAAGGCTTGGGCCCTGGCTGGGCTAGGAGAGCCATGGTGTGGGTGCTCTGGGCCTGGGGTGCCCATTGGGTGGGCCAGCCAAGGCATTGGTGCTCTGGGTTCCTGTATGTCCCCTGCAAGCTCAGACCTGTCCAGCACTTCCCAGTCTCATATTTTAGGAAAGGAAAAGAGGACAGAGTTCAAATCTGCTTCTGAGGCAGACTTTGTCTTTTGATTTCTAGTTAAGGTTGATGAGCACAAGTAGACCTCATAACTTGGGAGATTTTCAGACTCAGTTAAACTAAACATGTGTGTTGTTAATAAAGTCATGTTTTAAAGAAATTCGTGGCCAGGCATAGTAGTCCATGCCTATAATCCCAGCTCTTTGGGAGACCCAGGCAGGAGGATCATTTGAGACCAGGAATTTTAGGCTGTGGTGTGCTATGATTATACCACTGCACTCCAGCCTGGGCGACAGAGTGAAACCCTATCTCAGAAAACAAATAAAAATAAAAGATCCTCCTTTGCTCTAGTGCTCTTGGCTACCTGTGGGGACTCAGCTGTCTCCAACTTGATTTTAGAAGTGGCACATGCTTGATGGAGACAATTTAAAAATTTCAGATATGCACAAAGAATCAGAAAAACAAATCCGCTGTGTGCTGACAGCTGGAGGTTATCCTGTTAACATTTTAGCAAATCTCTTTGTTATTTTTCTCCCTATGCCTTGATTTCAGAAAGTTGAGATCATGGTGCAAATACAGTTTTACAGCTTTGATAGCATCACCACAGAAAGTGTCCCATGGGATTAACAAGTTTTCTTTAGCATGAGTTTAGTGTCTGTAGCCCTGTCTGCCAGAGCCTTCAGTGGTGATGGAAATGTTCTCTATCTACTCTGTCCTGTAGGGTGCCCCCTGGGTCACTGAGGGCTTGAAATGTGGTTAGTGTGACTATGGGGTACTGGGTTTTATATTATATTTAATTTTTTTTTTTGAATTGGAGTCTCACTCTGTGGCCCAGGCTGGAGTGCAGTGGCATGCTCAGGGCTGCTGCAGCCTTGACCTGCTGGGCTCAGGCAATCCTTCCACCTCAGCCTTCTAAGTAGCTGGAACTATAGGTATGTGCCACCATGTCAGCTAATTTTTTAATTTTTTGTAGAGACAAGTTCTCACTATGTTGCCCAGGCTGGTCTCAGACCCCTGGGCTCAGATTATCCTTTCATGTCTGCCTTCCAAAATGTTGGGATTACAGGCATGAACCACCACTCTTGGCTTGTATTTTATTTAATTTTTATTAATTTCAATAGCCCATGTGGATAGAGGGTCACCATGCTGGACAGCACAAGTCTGGAATATTCCATTGCAGGGTTGCTGGATTGATAGTTTGGTCCCAAGCTTATTGTTATCACAAATAATTGTTGCAGTATTTCTTGCTCCCTTTTGTCAGAGAATATGTGTTTTATAGGTTATGGGCCATTTAGGGTGTTTGTTTTCTGAGAGAAGACACACCTAGTGATCTGTACTGAGTAGCCAGATGGGGCAGGGCCTTCGGCAGGACCGAAATGCAGAGCTGGGGCCAGGGCCTGGCCACGTGCCCTCCTTACATATCCCAAGTCTCAAGTGCCCCTGGCAGAGCTGGAACTGGGAGCAGAACCCTAGCCTGTGTTCAGATGTCTTGGTCTGTTTGGGCAATATAACAAAATGCCATAGACTTGATGGCTTATAAACAATGGAATGCATCTCTCATGGTTCTAGAGACTGAGAAGTTCAAGGTCAAGATGCTGGCAGATTTGGTGTCTGCTGAGAGTCTGCTTTCTGTCTCATAGATGCTGTCTTTTCCCTATGTCCTTATATGTCAGAAAGGGGCCTCTTTTTTAAAGGCATCAGTCCCAATCACCCCTCATCACCTAATTACCTCCCCAAGCCCCACCTCCTAACACTGTCAATCAAGAGTTAGGATTTCCACATATGAATTCAGGGAGGCCATAAACATTCAGTTCATTGTACCAGGCTGCTGGTAGGGTTTCTAGGGTGGCCTCACTTAGGGTGAGAGCTGGAGACAGGAATCAAAGGGAAGCCCCCAGTCCCAAAGGGCACACCATCCGCGAGAGATGGCAGGATAGGAACTCCATCAGTGGCTGTTAGCTACCCACGGGGTAGGTATAGCTCACAGCCTCCTGGCTTCCTGTGGGTCCATCAGCAGCCGTTTGTTTGGGGAGTGAAGGCTGGGGCCAAGAGGGGGGATGTTTACCCTGTCACTTTGCGGTGGACAGTCAGCCCTTGTTTGTGGTCAGAGGGGCCAAACGGTGCTCTGGGAGCCTGTCCTGAACCCAAGCTGTGACGCGGGGCCTGTCCCCACAGGTGGCCCGGCAGTCTCTGACCATGTACGTTCTCATCATGAATGGCTGCCACATCGAGATCGATGCCCACCGGCTGAACGACGGGGGCCTGCTGCTGTCCTACAGCGGGAACAGCTACACCACCTACATGAAAGAGGAGATCGACAGGTACATGGGTGTTGCTGCCCCGGGGCTTGGCATGCACGCTGTCTCTCGTGGAATTCAGAAACTCAGAGATGCCCGTGTGCAGATCTGAGGCTCTTGGATAAGGCCTCTCTCTGGGAAATTCTGGGGGTGCGTGGAGAGGTTTGGTTGGAATTCTGTGCGACTGGTAGCTCTGCTCCTAGCAGGCCCTTTTCTGGGAACCAGGAGGATTCAGAGCTGATTGGGGTGTGATTGCCAGCACTGTGCCTGCAAGGTGTGTGACAGGTGCCTATGCCCCTGTGTTGAGTGGCAGTGTCCAGCCGGTTACTGCAGTGGCTATTTATCAAACTGCTCCATAGCAGGCGCCGGGCCATGTGTCGGCACAACTTGTGGAGGCTTCCAGCCCACTGGGGAAGATGACATATTCAACAAGCAGACAGTGCCAGGAAAGACTGCTGTGTACCTGATGGCTCACATCCAGGATGCTCTGAGCACAGGGGCTCATGAGATAGGCCTCAAAGACCCTCCACCTCCAGTGTGTGTGACAACACTGAGGTCACACAATGAAATATGCATGGGTCCCAGTCAAGGAGATGAAGGAGGAGGGGCTGCCAGAGGACCCATGTCTAAAAAAGCTCCTGTTAGAGAGTGGACATTTTCTTCTCAATTCTGCAAGTTTTAGAGGCAGGCAGACTAGGTTCATACCAGAGCAATGTTTTATTCTCTCTCTCTTTTTTTAGAGATAGGGTCTTGTACTCAGGATAGAGTACAGTGACAGGAGCAGAGCCTCGACCTCCTGGCCTCAAACCACCCTCCTGCTGCAGCCTCCAGAGTAGCTGGGACTACAGGCTGTGTCACCAGGCTCAGCTAATTTTTTAATTTTCGTAGAGATGGGGTCTCACTCTGTTGCCCAGGCTGGTCTCAAACTTGTGGCCTCAAGCAATCCGCCTGCCTTGGCCTCCCAAAATGCTAGGATTACAGGTATGAGCCACCATGCCTGGCAAGTATCTCTTTTTTATCCCATGTTCATCTGCCAAGAATATTCAAGATTATTATAAGCTTCACTCTCCCCAGTTCAGTTATAAGGGGAAAACTTTGAGTGAATATTTATTGAATCATATTATTGATTGACGCTTTCTCTGTGCTAGGGCACAGAGGAGTATATCAGTCAAAGGAACTAGCTTTCAGCCAAAAAAGTATCATAGATGTTTGCTCATTTACCCCACTCCTAGTGTCTCTGTGACAACTGTCAAACACCGTCTTTTGGGAATGTAGAGTCCCTAAAGCCACACAGAGGGTGACATTCATGGCCATCATTAGGAAAGGTGAAATATCAGACTGGATGTGGTGGCTTACACCTGTAATCAGCACTTTGGGGGGCTGAAGGAGGAGGATTTCTTGAGCTCAGGGGTTGAAGACCAGCCTGGGCAACATAGTGAGACCTTGTCTCTACAAAAAAAATGCAAAAATAGCCGGGTGTCATGGCCTGTGCTTGTAGTCCCAGCTGCTTGGGAGGCTGAGGTGGGAGGATTGCCTGAACCCAGGTGGTTGAGGCTGTGGTGAACCAGGATCACACCACTGCATTCCAGCCTGGGCGACTAAGTGAGATCCTATCTCAAAAAGAAGGAAAGGGGAGTTATTATAGCTTCAAAAGTCTTCTCAGGCTTGCTGGGTGGAGGGTCCTCACCAGTCTTTCCCACCTCTCCTCTTTCCCAGTTACCGGATTACCATTGGCAACAAGACGTGCGTATTTGAGAAGGAGAATGATCCCACGGTCCTGAGATCCCCCTCTGCCGGGAAGCTGATGCAGTACATGGTGGAGGACGGAGGCCACGTGGATGCAGGGAGCAGCTATGCAGAGATGGAGGTGACCACAGAGTTGGCCTGTGGGGGACTCTGAACCCCTAACACCCTGTTCCCCTGGCATCGTCCATGTTCAAGCATAGGCCTCACCTCTCCCCTTGGCCATGGCATGCGAATTCCTGAGAGAGTCAGTCTGGCGGGAGTGGGGGGAAGGTGGGGGGCGGTTCATGTAAGTCCCCTGCAGTATTCAAAGAGAAAACCTCAAAAAATACATACCTCAGGAATGAGGAAGAGCCGATTCATGATAACCATGGTGACGATTAAAAAGTGTTAAGCTGGCTCTTGCAAGGTCCTTACCACATAGTAGATGCTGCTCTAAGCATTTTATCTGTCTTTTTAAATTTAATTTTCCCAGCAAAGGAATGAGCTAGGCACAAATGCGATGTCCATCTTATGGAAAAACTAGGCCCAGGCAGGCTAAGAAGCTCACTTGAGGTCACACAAAGCCAGGATTCAAACCCTATAATGACAACAGAAAATATTGCCGTGATCGTCCTAATGTGTGTTGACCTCCTGCTGTGTGCCAGGCCCCTCATCTCATTTCATCCCTACATGAGCCAGAAAAGGTGAAACTGTCAACATTCCCCATTTTATACTTGAGGAAACAGACTTGAGGGGAAGGCATTCTCTGGAGATCACAGAGGTGATGAGTGGGGGTCCTGGGATTCCAGTCCAGCCTGGCTGACTGGGGTGTCTAAGCTGTGAATAGCAAAGCAAGGGCGGCAGCACAGTCCCCACTGTCTGCAGCCGGCACCGCAGGGACAAAACTCAGGCCTGGATACAGGCACATATCCAGACACCAAGAGCAGCAAATTAAAGGGGCCGGTGAGGGTACTGCAAGCAAATTCTTCGTGTGACAGAATGTTCCCCAGAGGGTTTTCTCGGTGCCTTTTGAAAGAGGATCCACACATTCTTAACACACTTCATCACAAAATGTTTGATTTATGCAGTATATTTTAGGAACATAGTTATTAATCACCTATATCATAGGATTTAACTATTTCTAAGACAGAGATCTTCCTTTGGAAGTAAACATCAGTTTTCATAGCTGTGAAATGGGTGTCACGAACATCTACCTCCCTGGCTAGCTTTGCAGATTGAGATAATTCGCAAAGGACTCTGTGCCTGGTGCACCGCAGGCTTGCAGTGAATGCTCGTTTTCTCTGTCCTCTCTGCGTGAACCCTGCCCAGGGAGTCATTCTATTTAGAGGACGCAGTCCTTGCCCTGGTGTCACCAGTTCTGGGTGACTGCAGGTATCACACGCGCAAACCAGTCCTGGCGTCTGTCCTCTGTCTTATTTCTTCTTTCTGCAAAACAGGTGATGAAGATGATCATGACCCTGAATGTGCAGGAAAGTGGCCGGGTGAAATACATCAAGCTTCCGGGGGCTGTGCTGGAAGTAGGCTGCGTGGTGGCCAGGCTGGAACTCGATGACCCTTCGAAAGTGCACCCGGTATGTTGCTCCACGGCTTTGGCTGGTGCAAGTGCACTTGTGGCTTCCACCTTAAAGTGCGACTGACAGGCTCCAGCTCACAACTCGCCTCCTGCTGTGCCTCGCTGCCTGCAGATGGCGCTCACTCTGGCAGCTGAGTAGCAGGGCCCAGACACAAGACGGCCACACCCTTTGCCCTAGTCCCTCGCTACTGCTCTCCATCTGCCTAGAGTAAAGCCCAAATCCTTCCCACGACCTACAAGACCCCAAATGACTATCCCCCGCTTTCTCTTCTGGGCTTCTCTGCTATTTCTTGCACCCGTGCTTACTTGGATGCACCAGACTCCTCCTACCCAGGGACTGCTCCCTCCATCAGGAAGGTCTTGCCCCCAGGCCTCCGAAGGGCTCACCCGCTCACCTCCTAGGAACTCTTATTCTAGTGTCATGCCCTCAGTGAGGTCTTGCTCGACCACCTTTTTTTGATACACTATTATTTAAGTACAGTTTTAGATTTCCAGAAGAATGCCGTAGCTAGTATTGAGAGTTCCCATATACCTCGTAACCAGTTCCCTACCATTTTAACTTTTTATTGGGTTTTGGGGGGTTTTTTTTTTGAGTTGGAGTCTCACTCTGTCACCCAGACTGGAGCGCAGTGGCCGGGCCTCGACCTTCCGCCTCAGCCTTCCGAGTAGCTGGAACTACAGGTGCGCGCTACCACACCCGGCTAATTTTTTTGAATTATTGTAGAGATGAGGTCTTGCCAAGTTGCCCAGGCAGGTCTCAAACCCATGGGCTCAGTCAATCCACTCACCTCAGTCTCCCAAAACACGGGATTACATGCTGAGCCACCAAGCCTGGCTCATTTTAACTTTTTAAAAGTTAATATTAATTCAGGCTGGGCGTGATGGCTCACACCTGTAATCCCAGTACTTTGGGAGGCTGAAGTGGGAGGATTGCTTCAGTCCAGGAGTTTGAGACCAGCCTGGGCAATATAGTGAGATCTCATCTCTACAAAAAATTTAAAAAATTAGCTGGATGTGGTGGCACATGCCTGTAGTTCCAGCTATGCAGGAGGCTGAGGTGGGAGGATCACCTGAGCCCAGGAGGTTGAGACTAGTGAGCTGTGATTCTACCACTGCACTCAAGCTTGGATGACAGAGTAAAACCCTGTCTCAAAATAAATAAACGCCGGGCTCGGTGGCTCAGCCTGTAATCCTGTGCCTTGGGAGGCTGAGGTAAGTGGATTGCTGGAGCCCGCAGGTTTGAGACCCGCCTGGACAACTTGGCGAGACCTCATCTCTACAATAAAATCAAAAAATCAGCTGGGCGTGGTAGCGCGTGCCTGTAGTTCCAGCTACTTGGAAGGCTGAAGCGGAAGGATCGCCGGAGCCCGGCAGGTCAAGGCTGCGGTGGCCAGGAGCGGCCACTGCACTCCTCCAGTCTGGGCAACAGAGTGAGACTCCAACTCAAAAAATAATAATAATAATAATAAAATAAATACACAAGTAAATAAATATTGATTTATTATTAATGAACTGTTATTAATTTATTATTGCAATTGTATGGTCTGTTTGTCACAATTAATGAGACAATATTGATACATTATTATTAACTAAAGTTCATGCTTTATTCAGACTTCCTTATTTTTTTTTTTTTTTTTTTTGAGTTGGAGTCTCATTTGGTCGCCCAGACTGGAGTGCAGTGGTCGCTCTTGGCCACCGCAGCCCCAACCTGCTGGGCTCCGGTGATCCTTCCACCTCAGCCTTCCGAGTAGCCAGAATTACAGGCAAGAGCTACCATGCCCGGCTGATTTTTAGATTTATTGTAGAGATGAGGTCTCGCTGCCCAGGCGGGTCTCGAACCCACGGGCTCAGGCAATCCACTCACCTCAGCCTCCCAAAGGCGTGGGATTACAGGCTGAGCCATCGAGCCCGGCTTCCTTAGTTTTTTTAAAAAATTGTGGTTAAATATATATGGCACAAAAATTATCATCTCAACCATTTTAAAGCCAGTGGTATTGAGTACATTCACACTGTTGTGCAGCCATCACCACTATCCATCTCCAGAACTCTTTTCTTCTTGTAAAATTGAAACTATACCCATTGAACACTAAGTCCCCATTCTCCCTTCCCTTCAGCCCTGGAAATCACCATTCTACACTGTCTCTATGAATTTTTGTTTTCCTTTTTCTGAGTCAGGGTCTCATTCTTTTGCCCAGGCTGGAGTACAGTGGCATGATCACGGCTTACCGCATCCTCCATTTTCTGGGTTCAGGCGCTTCTTCTGCCTCAGCCTCCTGAGTAGCTGGAACTACAGGCATGTGTCACCATACCTAGCTAATTTTTTTTTTAGAGACGAGGTCTTACTATGTTGCCCAGGCTGGTCTCAAACTCCTGGCCTCAAGTGACCCTCTCATCTTGGCCTCCCAAAGTGCTAGGATTACAGATATGAACCACCACTGGCCCGATTTTTTTTTTTTTAAGAGATAAGGTCTCACTCTGTTACCCAGACTGAAGTACCGGGATGTGGTCATATCTCACTGCATGTGGTCATAGCTCACTGCAGCTTCGAATTCCGGGGCTCAAGTGATCCTCCCACCTCAGTCTCCAGAGTTGCTGAGACTACAGGCATACGCCACTACACCTAGCTAATTTTTAAATATTTTTCTAGCGCCTGCATCTTGCTATGTTGCCTATGCTGGTTTTGAACTCCTGGCCTCAAGCAATTCTCCTGCCTCAGCTTTTCAAAGTACTGGGATTACAGACATAAACCATTGCACCTGGCCCCTGAATTTATCCATTTTAACTTTCCAGTACTATATTTTCTTTCATTTTTTTCTCAGACTTTCTTCTAACTCACATGTGTATGCTGGTCGATCTGCCTTGTCCCTGGTCTGACTAGTCATATTTGGGATTCCAGTGTGTGCAAACTCTCATCCTTGTGTCTCACTAGGCTGAACCGTTCATGGGAGAACTCCCTTCCCAGCAAACACTGCCCATCCTCGGAGAGAAATTGCACCAGGTTTTCCACAATGTCCTAGAGAACCTCACCAATATCATGAATGGCTTCTGTCTGCCAGAGCCTATTTTTAGCATAAAGGTAAGTCACTTGTAAGAGTAAGCATGTGTGGATCTGTGCCAAGACCAGGTAAATCACCTTTAAGAGCAGGCACGTGTGGATCTGTGCCAAGAGCCAGAAGAGTTTACTCTGTGAGCCCAGAGGTCTTTACTGAAGGAAGGAGAAAACGATCCATCCAGGGACATTCTCAGTTTCATCATAACCGTTGGTGGACATTTTCTCCTTGACTCTAAAGTGGGCTTGCAGTGGCTCGGTTCTGCTCAAGACTGAGAATACTCAGGCAGTCAGAAGGTGTCAGTATGGGTCAGCGCTCTTAAGATGACGAGGAAGGCACTTTGTTCAGAAATGCAAGTCTTGGTCATTCATCACCCAGGGTCCCACATACTCTGTAGAGCAACAAGACATCTTCCAATTTGCAGACCTCCTTGAAAGGCCCTGACTGGTGATAACACCATTTGCTGCAGCACATTCCATCTCAGAATTAGCAAATCCTGGTGATGGTGATGATCCTAATTACAATCAACCCTTATCTAGTGTGTACTGTGTGCTACCTGTTATTCTAAGTACTTAAGAAGTATTCAGTCACTTGATCTTCCCAGTAATCTGTGAAGTAGAAATTGTTACCCCAATTTGCAATTGAGGCAACTGAGGCACAGAGAGGCTAAGAAATTTATCCTGCTTCACAGTGAAGAGTCAAAGATAGGACTTGAACCCTGTGATGTAGATTTCTCAGATCTGCCCAGGCTTCAAGGGTGTCAGCTCAAATGGGTTGGCCACTGAGGGATTGGTAAGCTTAGCCCCAAAAGTGTTGGCTCTAATGGGCTAGCAAGTTTAGCTCTGAGAGCATTGCTGGTTTGGTGGGCTGCAAGCCTAGCCCCCTGGGATTCTCAGCTTCAGAGTCTTGCTTTCTTCCAGCAGCTCTCCTGGTTCAGCCAGCTCTGATGGTTGGCAAGCCAGCCTCTGGGGTGCATAGTTCCCACAGTCTTCAGCAGCTTTTCAGGTCACAACTCTTCAGGATTGAGGTTCTTGTTTGCAGGAAGAATGAGGGACACAGCTGAACGTGACAAAGCAGAATTTATTGAAAGCATAGACAAGCTTCCACAGTGGGAGAGGACCCTAAGGAGTTGCCAGTCTGAGGCCTGAAACCTGGTGCTGATATAGCCCCAAGTCCAAGCCGATTGGCTAGCACTAGCTGTGAGCTGACTGGTCCACACGTAGCTGTTCTGATTGGTCAGTACTAAGGTCTAATCGGCAGAAGGTAGGGGCCTAATGGTGAACTGATTGGTTGCTTTTCAATCCCAGCATTCAGTACTTAAGCTGTAGCTTGAGAGGCTTGCACAGGGTGCTTGTTTACCAAGGCTGAGCTGGAGAACCCTGAGGGGAGTTCGCTGCGTTGTTGCCAGAGGTCCCATCTGTCTGTCTGCCTAGCCTTTCTCTAGCTATCTCCCGTCTCACCTGGTCATCTGGCCTCTAAGTCTGTGCTCCTAACACCTGTGCTATGCTGCCTAGCAATGGTTGCTATCATTGCAAGATTTATTTAGTCTTGGTGCCAGCATGTGCATCAGTTCACTTTTTTTTTTTTTTTTTTGAGAAAGCAGGATTTATTGAGAGGACAGAAAAGCTCTCACATTGGGAGGGGACCTGAAGGAGTTGCCCATCAATTCACTTTTAAACCTCACCACCATGCTGTGGGATTGGTCCCACTGTCATCCCCATCCAAAAACCATCAACATGGGCTACATCCGGAAGCAGTACATCCGGAAGCAGAACATCTGGAAGCAGTGTAGGGTGGCTGTTAGGGGTCTTGGGAGCTGAATAACCTGGGTTTGCTTCCTGGTTGTACTTCTTATAGCTGAGTGACTTTGGGTAATTTAATTAACCTCCCTGTGTTCCATTTGCCTCAACTGTAAAATGGGAATAATCATTAGACCTGCTTTGTTGGGTTGTTTCTAGGGATCAAATGAGAACGTGTAAAGAAAGATCTGCCGGGCTTGGTGGCTCAGCCTGTAATCCCGCGCCTTTGGGAGGCTGAGGTGAGTGGATTGCCTGAGCCCGTGGGTTCAAGACCCGCCTGGGCAGCAGACCTCATCTCTACAATAAATCAAAAAATCATCCGGGCGTGGTAGCGCATGCCTGTAATTCCGGCTACTTGGAAGGCTGAGGCGGAAGGATCGCTGGAGCCCAGCAGGTCAAGGCTATGGTGACTGGGAGTGGCCACTGCACTCCAATCTGGGCGACAGAGTAAGACTCCAACTCAAAAAAAAAAAGATCTGAGGACACTGTCTGGTATAAGCACATGTCCCACAGATGTTAGCTCTTCACAAGACCTTAGGCTTGCTGCCCACACCATGCTGGCTTTCTGTATGCCGAGAGGGGAGTAGGGGCCTTCCTACGTGGAAACTGAGCATTCCTCCTCTGGGGGAGGGCATTCCACCCTGGACTGTTTCAGGGGCTGTCGGGTCTAGATCCTCGGCCACTTGTGTGCACAGGACACGGATGGGTTGAGTTGGGTGGGGCATCTCATGGTGGGTGGTGGTGCCCACATCCCTGCAGGGCTGGGCCAATGCTGTGGTCCCTGCTGCAGCTGAAGGAGTGGGTGCAGAAGCTCATGATGACTCTCCGGCACCCGTCACTGCCACTGCTGGAGCTACAGGAGATCATGACCAGTGTGGCAGGCCGCATCCCTGCCCCCGTGGAGAAGTCGGTCCGCCGGGTGATGGCCCAGTATGCCAGCAACATCACCTCGGTGCTGTGCCAGTTTCCCAGCCAGCAGGTATGTGGTGCCCTAGCCCAGCCCCACCTGAGTGCTGGCACTGGGCCGGTCCCTGGTTGGGCCGGACATCTGGCCCCTGATCAAGTTGAGCTACTGGAGACCCACGGACAGCCCAGACTGCTGGGACCAAGGGCTGTCTTTCGAGTCTCATCTGCAGAATTTCTTCACTTTCTCCCAGGCAGCAGAGGGGTGAATGAACATCAACAGTCATCAGGCCTCACTCCATAAAACTCCAGTTCAGATGAGGGGTGAGCAGTTCCTGCAGATAGAGGGGGCAGGTGCCAAACAGTAAACCGGCCGGCATCATTAGAGGAAAGCGCAGACCTCTTCCTGGTTTGCAGCTTTGGTTTTCTCCCTCTGGATTTTGTAAGGTGATAGTCTAGGGGCCCAATGTTTGTAAAACATTTCTGAAGAATGGGAACCATTTCAGGGTAGTATAAGCTTTTTCCGTTTGTTCTACATCTATTCATGCTATTCATGTTGTGGTTGTTTTCATCGGGGATTTGAAAGGTGATTTGCACTTGGAAGAGACCTGCCTGTTTGCCTTCCTGCCCTCTGTCTGGCTGGAAGGGTTCACTTCCAGCCTCCTTCCCCCACCGGCACATTAGTGACCTGGGGTGCTAGAGTCGGTGCAGTTCAGGGCATTCCCAGGGGTCAGCAGCTCCAGTGGGTAGAGTACTGTTCAGCCATAAAAAGGAATGTAGCATCGCGCTGATTCAAGCCCATGGGTGAACCTATTATAGTAAGGGAAATAAACCAGACCCAAAAGACTGCCCTTGGCATGATTCCATTTATAGGAAACCTCTGGAATAGGCACATGCATGGAGAAAGAAAGGAGGGTAGTAGTTGCTGGCGGCTGGCAGGGGAGGGGAAGTGAGGAGTGACTGCTAATAGGTACAAGACTTCTTTTTAGGGTGATGAAAATGCTTTAAAATAGGATAGTGGTGATAGTTTCATGACTTTGTGAATATACCACCAACCACTGAACGTATACTTTAAAGGGGGATAATGGGATATTATGGTATGCAAGTTATATCTCAACTAAAAAAATAACAAAACCAAACTCTGGAGGACCCTAATTGAGAAAGCACATGTTGGAAATTTTCAGGAATTTGTCCTTGATGCAGATTTTTATATTTTAAAATATTTTTATTTATTTTTGGTGACAAGACTCCCATCTAAATAAGTTTTTCTCCTGCCTGATCATTTTACTGATGGCTGAAGGATTTTAGAGAACCTTTTATTTTGCAAGGAAAATAAGAATCCAAATTCAGTGACTGCCAAACACACACACACACACACACACACACACACACACACACACACACACAATTTTATGCCAGTGGTGATATACCGATGACATTAAATCTAGTGATAAAGACAGGACCTTTTCCCACCTGGCACACTCATTCTCACCAGGGTTGGGTGTTCCCTTCTTCCCCATCCCTGCCCTGTTTCTGTCTGTGGAGAGGTGTAGTGCGAATGTGCACATCTCCTTATGTGATTGTTGTCTTTCTGAGCCCTCAGATTCCTCACTGTTGATAGGGATGAATGGAAACGCTTCGGGTGGCTGGAGGGCTTCTGAGCTGGAAGTTTGGTCTCCATATGAGCTCAGATGGACCTCCCTGGGAGTGCACGGTAGGCCCTTCAGGTGACTGATAGGTGGTGACTGGATCATGTGGTTGTCAGAGGGCCGATCTGTTTTGTTTTTCCATCCAGATAGCCACCATCCTGGACTGCCATGCAGCCACCCTGCAGCGGAAGGCTGACCGAGAGGTCTTCTTCATGAACACCCAGAGCATTGTGCAGTTGGTCCAGAGGTGAGTTGTGGGCTCTCTCTGGGGTGTGGTTATAACTCTGAGCGGTTGTATGTGTTGCACCAGGGAGATGCTGTGGGACTTTCTTAAGGGCAAGCTCACCAGGCGCAGTGGCTCAGTACTGTAGTCCCAGTACCTTGGGAGTCCAAGGAAGGAGAATCACTTGAGCCAGGTGTTCAAGATCAGTCTGGGCAACATAGCAAGACCCCATCTCTAAAAAAAAAATTAATAAAAATTAGCCATGGTGGTGGTATATACCCTTACTCCTAGCTACTTGGGAGGCTGAGGTGGGAGGATTGCTTGAGACCAGGAGTTCAAGGCTGCAGTGAGCTGTGATTGCACCACTGCACTCCAGCCTGGGTGACAGAGTGAGACCCTGTCTCAAAAAAAAAAAAGGAGTGAGGGAGGGCTCTTGAACTGAGAGAAACTGCAGATGCATCTTGGTTTATGGTCCTGGCAGTGCCATTACTGACAGTGGAACCCTAAGCAAGTCACTTGACTTCTGTGAATCTCAGTTAGTTGGCAAAATGGGAATAAAAGCACTTCACAAGATAAGTCACTTGGAATTATGAATGGATTAATTTTTGTGAAGTGCTAACACACAGCAGATACTAGAGAGGCAGTAGCTTGGATTGCAAGAATGGGATGAAATGACTTTGTGTACAATAAAAGACTATGCAAGTTTTCGCTGTGGTTTTGGGGTTCATTGCAAAGGAAAGTTGATGAATTATTTGTGTTTTATCTCAAGTAGTTGTTGAGCAGGGCTTGTCTGCTCCAGCACTATTCTGACGATAAAAATAATTTTTGCCATTTTTTGGGGGGGTGAAAAGTCCACCTAGCAGGATCACTTTGCTCATAGGGACAGAATGAAAGCATTCTCAAATTAGAACTAATCAATTCAGCACATTTTCCACATGTCAGAGACTGCTACAGGTATAAAGAATGTGAGACCGTGGAGACTGTCCCTCTTCCCAGGGAGTCCCTGACTCATAGTGGCATACAGTGACCCTGCAGCATTGTGCTGAGGAGCGAGAGTTTAAGTGGATTCTCCAGTGTGGCGGTTTCACAGCCAAGGGCTATGAAGGAGTCCTGCCCCTGACACACCTCCCTATCCCTCAAGCTTCAGAGAGACCTAGGAGAAATGAACAGAGAATATATTAACTGAATTTTCAAGCAAATTTTCTGTGATGAACGTAGATATGAAAGTTCTGTCCTATGCTATGTGTGAATGTGTGTGTGTGTGTGTGTGTGTGAGTGTGTATGCCATAAAATCACATTTTGATCAGTGTTTTAGCTTCTTGCTCTCTTTCGTTGTCATTTGGGGATGCTGGGATTAAGCTGGTTTCTACTTCTCTATGTCTCATGTCCCTCCTCCTAAGATACTCCATTCCCATGTTTAGAACTGTTTTAGAGGAGGGAATGTTTTAGGGAACAACCAGGTTAAAATTCTGTTTTAAAAGAGAAGTGAAATTTACACAGGGATCTTTTGGTAAATGTCTTCCTAGTTTGTCTTTTTAAAACTGCCTTAATATATAGAGGGGAGTAATTGAACATTTTTCTTTTTAAATGAAAATCCTCCTAAAATTGACTGCTCCAGTTTGGCATACCAACTCTTTTAAATTTTTTTTCCATTCTTGCTGAGACCAGACAGATGACCTCCTGTCAGGCTCAGACTTGATGTGAGACCTTGGGCAAGTCACTGCGCTCTTTGACCTTCAGTTACAGATGAACTGACTCCACATCCCTTGCAGACCTCAGGATTGGCAAGCATAGACTACAGATACACACGTTTTTTATTTTAATTTATTTTATTTATTTAAAGTAATTTTTTTTGGAGACAAGGGTCTTGCTATGTTGCCCAGGCTGGGCTCAAACTCCTGGGCTCAAGTAACCCTCCCACCTCAGCCTCCTTTCTAGAACTCTTTCTCCTTTTAAAGGTCATAAAAGCCTCCGCTGAAGTTATTCAGGCACATGGGGAGGTGCATGTGAGCGCTAAGGGCAGCCTTTCCTTCCTCCCCAGATACCGCAGCGGGACCCGTGGCTATATGAAAGCAGTGGTGTTGGAGCTCCTGCGAAGATACTTGCACGTTGAACACCATTTCCAGCAAGGCAAGAGATGCCGCTGCCGATGGCACTGGTGACAGCCCGCAGGGCAGGGGCAGCCGGAGAAGCACAAGCCTCACCCCACATGGTTTTTGTCTCCCTCTAGCCCACTATGACAAGTGTGTGATCAACCTCAGGGAACAGTTCAAGCCAGACATGTCCCAGGTGCTGGACTGCATCTTCTCCCACGCACAGGTGGCCAAGAAGAATCAGCTGGTGATCATGCTGATCGTAAGCAGGAAGGGCACCTTTTAACCAGATGGGGCGGGCCAGGGATCTGCAAACTTCTTCTAAAAAGGGCCAAGTCGATGTTTTAGGCCCTGCAGGTTAGTGTGGTCTCTGCTCTGACCACTGGACACAGCCGTCGTACAATGTAAGCAAATAGGCTCACCTGTGCTCCAGTGAATCTTGTTTACAAAACAGGCAGTGGGCCATTGCCAGGCCATCACTGCCATTGTCATGCCTTACTATGCTATGGTGTGGCCATGTGCTCTTTGAGCTACGTCCAGGCCATGTTTTCTTAAGCTTTGGCCCCCTTTCCTACCTTGGAGAGGTGACTCTCCTTTTTATCTCTCTCTCTCTCTCTCTCTCTGTCTCTAATTTACTTTTAAAATAAACTGTATTTTTTAGTCTAAAAAACAAAAAACAGGCGGTGGGTGGGGTGTTCTGTCCCCTGGGAAGATGAGGCTCACAAAGCACCTTCTTTGTGCCAGGCATTCTTGAAAGGCTTTACAAGTAAATATTAGCTCATTTAATTCTCACAGCAACCATAGAAGGTGGGTCCTGTTCTCACCTGTCTTTGGCAGAGCGCAAAGAGGTGAAGCCACTTGCCCAGGGGTACTCAGCTCATAAATGCAGAGTCAGGATTTGAACCCACAGTCCTGTTCCAGAGTCATGAGCTGTTAGATTTGGAGTTTTGTGGTAGGGCTTTCATTTTGCCTTCTTGGAGAAGTGTGGAGTTTCTTCATTCTTATTTCTCCTTCTACCAGATAATAATTTGCAACTTTTATAACTAAGGATTTCTTCCTTGATGTGTCCCTGCTGACTGACTTGGAAAATGTAGGATCAGCAGAGTGGGGGAGATTTGTCTTACACTTGTCTTACATTTGTCTTACATTATAGCAGACGAGGGGACTGGCAGATTTTTTCTGTAAAGGGCCCCAGATAGTAAGTATTTTAGGTTTGTGGCCATCCAGCCCCTAGTGCTACCACTGGGCTCTCTGAGCTCTGCTCTTGTAGTGTGAAAGCATCTATAGGCACTTTGTGAATAAATGAGCATGGCTGTGTTCCAGTAAAACTTTATTTACAAAAATAACCAGTGGGCTGTATTTGGGCCATGGGCTTATAGGGTAGTTAATACCTTACCAAGATATATTTGTAAATATTGGTATTTTTGTAAAGAATTACTTAAAAATCTTGTGCAGCCGCTTTTAATTCTGGCTGCATATGAGAATTATCTTGTGGTGGGTACTTGTAACACATAACCAGGCCCCACCCTTGGTCGATTACATCAGAGTTTCTGGGTGTGGGGCCCAGGTATAAGCGCTTTTCGAAAGCTTCCTTAAAGGTGGAATGTATATTATTATTACTTTTTGAGTTGCATCTTACTCTGTCACCCAGGCTGGAGTGCAGTAACACTATCAGGGCTCACCACAGCCTCGACCTCCTGGGCTCAGGCAGTCTTTCTGCCTCAGTCTCCTGAGGAGGTAGGACTACAGGCATGTACTGCCACGCCTGGCTAATTTTTTTATTTTTTGTAGCAATGAGGTCTTGCTATGTTGTCTAGTCTGGTCTTGAACTCCTAGGCTCAAGCGGTTTCCCACTGTGGCCTCCTAAAGTGCTGGAATTAAAGACATGAGACACTGTACCCAGCCCATATATTAGATAATATTACTGGTTTAATTTTCATTTTCATTGGTGTTTTAATGGTTCTATAATTAGGTGGGGGACTATCTGGACATGTTACATTAGCGTAAAGGATCATGGTGTCTGCAACTGACATTCAAAGTGAGAGAGAGTGAGAGAGAGAGTGTGTGTGTGTGTGTGTGTGTGTGTGTGTGTGTGTGTGTGTGTGTGTGTGTGCACGCGCTTACAGGAGAAAAATCAAATGTGGTCTAAGTTTAACAGTTAGTGTATATAGGGACTTCCAATATACTGATCCTTAATTCTACTGCAGTTTTAAAGTTTTATTATTTTGGGAGGGGGAAGGTTCCCCCGAGTGATTACAATGTGCAGCTGAGACTGGTAACTTACACCCAAGGAGATAGCTACTCCTTGGAGGAATTCTGTTGCTAAAATAATTTAACTCTTTTCAAAAATACTTCCTTCATATGGATTTTTTTGGAGCCTGAGTGTTGGCAAAGCAAGGTACACCTGTAATCTATTAGCTTGCCGCTCAGAGGCAGGGATCGGGGCTCTGAATTATTCTGCTATTCGTTACTCTTTGTGTACATACAGACTCTCTCCCAGGTGTGAAGTTTCTAAAAATTATGTTCACCAGAGGACGTCCTGGGTATGACAGGCGGAGTGGTGGCCCCAGCTCCGGGAATTGTGGCACTTGCCTGGGACCTCTTGGTGAAGGAGGCTAAAGGTGTTGCAGCAGCTACTGTGAGGGGCTGTTTATGAGATGAGTCGTCATTCTTCTGGCTTCCTTGGTGCCATTTGTTGGAAAATAACGAATTCTTTGCATCTGATGGTATTGGGTTCCTGGAGGTTTCAACACAGACTTGTGAGTTGAACGATTACTTGGAAATTTTTTGTCTATTGAGTGGACCTCGTTTCTGAAGGTCAGTTCATTAGTCGTGAGATTTTGTTAGTAGCAAAGCAAAGAGGACATGTTACCGTGAACTAACATGAGATGAAACTTTCACTCAAGTTGACAAGAAAGGAAAATTGCATTTGGGTCTTTGTTTTTTAGTTGGAGTCTCACTCCGTCGTCCAGACTGGACTGCAGTGGCACACTCCTGGCCACTGCAGCCTTGACCTGCTGGGCTCCGCGATCCTTCCGCCTCAGCCTTCCAAGCAGCCAGAACTACAGGCGTGCACTACCACACCTGGCTAATTTTTTATTTATTGTAGAGATGAGGTCTCACCAAGTTGCCCAGGTGGGTCTCGAACCTGTAGTCTCAGGCAATCCACTCACCTCGGCCTCCCAAAGCACTGGGATTACAAGCTGAGCTACTGAGCCTGGCCGTGTTTGGGTCTTTGTATGTAGAAGGTAGTGGCCAGGTTTTTTAAACATTGACACAAACAACCCTTGAGTTTTTCACCTCCACTGACCCGTCCTGGGAGCTCCAGGCCTGGGGGATTGGTGGCATGTGATGCCACCACCATTTGATAATACAAAAGCAGGTCAGAATCTGGGAAGGAGAAAAGATTAGAACAGTTTCCTACCACGTGTCTTCAACATTGACATGCCCCTGCATTTGTATAAGAAATATTAATAGGTTAAAAATATTTTCTGATTATAAACACGGCGCAGGCTCATTATAATTAGGAAAATGCAGAAACACATGTAGAAAAAAATGACCCATGGCCCCACTGTCTGGTGACTTCTTGGAGAGCGGTCTTGGCTGGGGCAGGGGTGGGTGTGTTGCTCTGGAGCGCTGATGTCCCGCACTCTCTGATCTGCCTTCAGTGGGTATTGAGGGACCACCGCCTCCAAGCCATTCCCAAGCCCCTTGTGCATCAGGTCATCGGAGGAGATGCAGTGAGTGGTTGCACACAGCCCAGGTCTCCACAGAAAGGCCCTCCCTTGGGAAACCGAGAGGAGGGGTGCACACAGGAAATGTCACCCTGCTCTTCTCCTGGAGAGTCCGTTCCAGGTCCCTCTTCTCTGAAACTGTGAGCCCCTTAAGTCGGGCAGCAGCACGTGGGGGAAAGAGTGAGAAGCATTAGGGGCAGAATAGGCCTGTGTTTGAATCTGGCTCTGCCTTGCTTGTACTTGGTGACTTTGGGGCAAGGCATATTGTCTCTTTGAGCCTCAGTGTTCCTATCTATAAAATGGAGATCATGATAGTACCTCTTCAAGGAGCTGGGAAAAACTAGGGTGTTGTATATAAAAGGTCTAGCTGCTTACTAGCCACCTGACAGCATAGTAAGCACCTGAGAGGCTGAGCACAGTGGCTCACGCTTGTAATCCCAGCACTTTGGGAGGCAGAGGTGAGAGGATTGCCTGAACCCAGGGGTTCAAGCCTGGGCAACATGGCGAGACCTCATCTCTACATTAAATCAAGAAAAATTAGCTGTGTGTGGTGGCGTACCTGTTCCAGCTACTTGGAAGGCCAAGGTGGCAGGACCACCTGAGCCCAGCAGGTTGAGGCTGCAATGGCTGTGAGCGTTCCATTGTACTCCAGCCTGGGCATCAGAGTGAGACTCTGACTCAAAAAAAAAAAAAAAAAAAGCACCTGATAATCATTGGCTATTAAAAGTAATACAGGCCAGGCATCGTGGCTCAGGTTTGTAATCTCAGCACTTTGGGAAGTTGAGGTAGGGGGATCACTTGAAGCCAGTTCAAGACCAGCCTGGGCAACATAGTGAGACCTTCTCTCTGTAGAAATTTTTAAAAAATGAGCTGGATGCAGTGGCATACACTGTTGTTCCAGCTACTTGGGAGGCTGAAGTAGGAGGATCGCTTGAACCCAGGAGTTCAAGCCTGCAATGAGCTTTGATGATGCCACTGCACTCCTGCCTGGGTGACACAGTGAACCCTGTCCCTTCTTTAATAGTAATAGTAATACAGGTAGGAACTCAGTTGTCATTTTTTCTCTTACCAGGTGTTTAGGGCATGCTTTGATTCATGAATGGTTGATGAATGAATGATTGAATGAGATGGGCGCATAGAGGAGAGTGGTAAGGGTTTACAGATCAGGCTGTGCTGGGCGTGCCGAGGGAGCCAAGCAGCTGTCTGGCTCACTGGACTGTTGCATCCCCGGCCGAAGTGAGCACTAGCCTGTTTCCCGTGGCTGGAGAAAAGCCATTTGGATTCTGTCCTTGTCCCTCAAAGGACGAGCTGTGTGGCCCAGACCCTTCCCTGTCGGACGAACTGACCTCCATTCTCAACGAGCTCACCCAGCTGAGCAAAAGTGAGCACTGCAAGGTGGCCCTCAGAGCCAGACAGGTAGGGTCTCAAGACACAGTCCTCACCATGCGCGGTCCTCCCCACTCTGTGCACGGCCCCCACTGTGCACGGCCCTGCCTAGTGCTGTCCCATTTTCCACCCTAGGCTTTTCCCCTGGGACACTGGCTAACCCCAGCCCTTCGTCCCCTCCCCCTCAGGTCCTGATTGCTTCCCACTTGCCCTCCTATGAGCTGCGGCACAACCAGGTGGAGTCCATCTTCCTGTCTGCCATTGACATGTACGGCCACCAGTTCTGCCCTGAGAACCTCAAGGTAAAGCCATCTCCTCCGACCACCTTCTACAGAGCACACACTGGGGCCCAGGAGGGGGCTGGGGGAAACGGCTCCCCTGCCTTCCAGGTGCTACGGTGTAGGCAGGGTGACCAGGGGCCCTGGGAGAGGCCTTGGGAGAGGCGTGAGTGAACGTGTGACAGGCAATGAGGGCTCACCTGGTAGGTGAATGTTACAGCCTCCATGGTGATGGTGTGTGTTTGGAAGCGGCAGGCCCTCCCGCGGCTGCACAGCCCCAAGGCTCTGGCTCATTTGCAAACTTTGGGTCCCCCTCAGCATCTGAAATGGGGAGCCCAGCCCTGAGTGCAGCCATTCCAGAGTTTTTACCATCGGATCTTTGCCATTAAATGTGGGAGGAATCCCATGTGTGGTGGGCACTAACTGCTTTTAGTGGAGGCAACGTGCCCCACATCTCCCGGCTCCCACTGCCCCGCCCACCCAACTGGTACTTAAAACTTACTTGAATTACTTTCCCTTTTCCTTTTCCCCTAGAAATTAATACTATCAGAAACAACTATCTTTGACGTCCTGCCCACTTTCTTTCTATCACACGAACAAAGTCGTGTGCATGGCATCCTTGGAGGTAAGCAGGAGGCCCAGGAACAGCAGTACTGATTGTGTTGGTCCTAGCATTCCCCAACGCCAGCATGCACCAAGCCAGGGCTATGGGCCAACCCAGGCCACGTGCTGACCTTGGGCCACATGCCTTGAGAACATGTTCTTGTCCTCTTTTCCCACAGGAAGGAGCTGAGAGGTGAAGTGACTTGTGCAAGGACACAGTTAGGAAGTGGCAGAATCAGGTTTTACCTTCAGTCTTTCTTATTGCAGAGTCCATGCCAATAACCACTGTTGTCTCCTCTAGGTAGGGTGCAGTTAAATACTGACCCCTGAGAGCCAAGTCAGAGGCACCTCACCCAAACTTTCCGAGTCACATGCTTTAAATACCTCGGAAAAAAATCTCTGTTTGGAACTATGAGAGTCAGAAGGAGTCCAGGTGATGACTTAAAGTGGCTGCCCTGAGTGATAGGCAGAAAAGGGTGTGGCCAGCAGCAAAACCCAGATTAGAGCCAGGCTGTCTTGCTCCCATTCCAGTCTTCCTGCATTCAGGGACCAAGAGGTGTTTGTTTCTGGAAAACAGAGTTTTTATTTATTTTATTTTTTGAGTTGTAGTCTCATTCTACTGCCTAGGCTGGAGTGCGGTGGCACGATTACAGCTCACCACAGCCTTGACCTCCTGGGCTCCTTCCGCCTCAGACTGCTGAGTAGGTGGGACCATAGGTGTACACCACTATGCCTGGCTCATTTTCACATTGTTTTATAGGTACAGGGTCTCGCTATGTTGCCCAGGCTGGTCTGGGCTCAAGCAATCCTTCCACCTCAGCCTACCAAAGTGCTGGGATTATAGGCATGAGTCACTGCACCCAGCTGGGAAAAAAGAGTTTTTAATTTACTCTTTTAGAATCCTTTTAAGAAGCTAGGCATGGTGATTCATGCCTATAAACTCAGTATTTTGGGAGACTGAGGCCAGAGGATTGTTTGAGCCTGGAAGTTTGAAGTTACAGTGAGCTGTGATCGTGCCAATGTACCCCAACCCGGGAAACAGGGTGAGACCCCATCTCTTAAAACCATGATTCCTTTTAAGAAAATGTGAGATGACATTTTGTGATTTTTTTTGTTTTTTTGTTTTTTGTTTTTCTGAATTGGAGTCTTACTCCGTCGCCCAGACTGGAGTACAGTGGCTGCTCCCGGCCACCGCAGCCTCGACCTGCTGGGCTCCAGTGATCCTTCTGCCTCAGCCTTCCGAGTATCCGGAACTACAGGCATGCACTACCACGCCCGGCTGATTTTTTGATTTATTGTAGAGATGAGGTCTCACCAAGTTGCCCATGCGGGTAATGAACCCGCCAGCTCAGGCAATCCACTCACCTCAGCCTCCCAAAGCACTGGGATTACAGGCTGAGCCACCGAGCCCGGCTAACATTTTATGTTTTTAACATGGCTCCCTTACCCTGGATTGCTTTGCTGATGGTGGTTTTCCTCCTTTCTTCATCTTCTGAGCTCAGAGTCTCGGTCCCCTGGGGCCCCTACTCCCTCTTCTGTCTCTCTTAGACCCTGTGAGTCATACAGTCAAAAGGTTTGCTGGGTCTTCATGGAGACCACTCTGGGCTTGTGAGCATTGTATAGCCACAGGCACTCCTGGGCCTGTAGTTTTTACGCTTCTGTGGGTTTTACCTATAGAAGAATCTTTCTCAAACTTCACTCTATTTTTCTTTCTTTCTTTCTTTCTTTTTTCTGAGTTGAAGTCTCACTCTGTCGCCCAGACTGGAGTGCAGTGGCACGCTCCCGACCACCTCAACCTCGACCTGCTGGGCTTCGGTGATCCTTCCACTCAGCCTTCCAAGTAGCTGGAACTACAGGAGTGTGCTACCACACCCGGCTAATTTTTTGATTTATTGTAGAGATGAGGTCTCGCCAAGTTGCCCAGGCGGGTCTTGAACCCGTGGGCTTGGGCAATCCACTCACCCCTTGCCTCTCAAAGCGCGGGATTACAGGCTGAGCCACTGAGCCCAGCCTGTTTTTCTAACAGTGAGACCCAATACACTTCTGTAGTTTTTTTGTTGTTGTTTTTTTTTTTTAAATAAAGATGAGGGGTGGGTCTCACTATGTTGCCCAGGCTGGCCTTCATTTCCAAAACTCAAGCAACTTTCCTTCCTCAGTCTCTTGAGTAGCTGGGACTACAGGTACACACCACTGCACCCAGCTCGTAGTGACTTTTTAAAGTGCTAAATCCTATGTATGTCCGATAGAGATTTTTCTAGGATGCTTTTATATATTCTGTCACTTGGGCCCATTTATTGAACATGAATCAGCCTTTCTTATGACCCAGGATGTGCATTGCAAACAAAAGATTTTGACTTAGCCACTGAAGATGATAGAGTTTTAACTCTGCCCTAAATATGCCAAGACCGCCCCCAGGTTTGATGATTTGCTGGAAGGGTCCACCAGACTCAGCCGACAGTTCTGCTCACCCAGTTTTAATGTGCTATAGCAAAAGGATGCAAAACACAGTCAGCAAAGGGAGAGGGTATGTGGGGTAAAGACAGACAGAAGCCGGTACAAACTTTTGGAGTCCTCGGCTCTGCAGAATTGCTCCAGCAATGAGTCGTGACATGTGTGAGTTGTTGTCTACCAGGGAAGCTCATGAGACTTGGTGTCCAGGGCTTTCAGTAGGGGCTGGTCACATGGACGCCCTCTACCTATCACGTGCCAAGGTTCTAAACTCCAAGAGAAAAAGCGAATGTTCAGCAAAAGCCATCTTGTATGCACACACAGATTGGGCACTGCGAACCGTTCCCATCAGGGCATGGCGGGCCCTCTTCCCGCATCCACGTTCCCCAGTGCAAGCCGAGGGCTGGCCTTGAAACGAGTCTTTCAGAGGATGGCAGTTAGACTTGCCATGTTAGCTCGCCCAGTTCCCACACTTCCTGTTCAGTTGAAAAATGGCCAGTGTTTAAATTCCAGAACTGTGTTGTCCATTATGGCTGCTACTGGCTACGTATAACTGGTGAGCACTTGAGATGTAGCTGGGCTGAGATGAACTGTATTCTACGTGTGAAATACACACTCTGCTCCAAAGACTTAGTACTTTATGGAGAAAAGAATGTAAAAACATCTCAGTAATTTCTTATATTGATTAATTGTTGAAATGATAATCTTTTGGGTATTTGAAGCTAAATAAAATGCGTTATTAAAATTATTTTTACCTGTTACTTTTTTTCCTGTTACTAGAAAATTTAACAGTGCTCAGTAGACTTGTGTTATATTTCTCTGCAATGTTGGACAGCACTGCTCTAAAACAGATCATTAAATCACAGACCCTGGGCCAGATTTAGCCCACTGCCTGTTTTTGTAAATAAAGTTTTATTTTTGTTTTCTGTTTGTTTTAAAATCAGTCTCACTCTGTCACCCAGGCTGGAAGGCAGTGACATGATCACAGTTCACCACAGCCTCGACCTCCTGGGCTCAGGCAATCCTTCTGCCTCAGACTCCCAAGTAGCTGGGATTACACATGCACATCACCACGCCTGGCTAATTTTCTTATTTTTCTGTAGAGATGAGGTCTCACTATGTTGCCCAGGCTGGTCTTGAACTCCTGGACTCAAGTGATCTTCCTGCCTTGGCCTCCCAATTGCTGGGATTTCAGGTGCGAGCCACTATGCCCAGTGTGTAAATAAAATTTTAGTGGAACACAGCCATACCCATTGATTTATGTGCTACAACCATTGGATCAAGTAGTTGCAACAGAAGCGGCATGTCCTGAAAAGGCTAATATTAACTACCTTGTCCTTTCAGAAAAAGTTCATTCATCCCTGCTCTGGAGCTTGGGAATGGATTTGGGTAACCAATAACATTCTGAAATGTGAGCACATTTGCTCTTAACTGCTGCTTTTAGAGATTCTTTAGCGGCCTTTTGGGGGACCCCTGCTGCCTGAGTTTTCTCGGACTTTGAGGACGCTCCACGCTGTCCTCTGAGAGAGTGTCTACTGTGTCTTTCCAGGTTTACGTGCGGAGGGGCTACATCGCCTATGAGTTAAACAGCCTGCAGCACCGGCAGCTCCCCGACGGCACCTGCGTGGTGGAGTTCCAGTTCATGTTGCCCTCCTCCCACCCAAACCGGTATGCTGTGGCCTGTTTCTTTTCTTCCTGACCTCTGTAGTCCTGTCTCTGGAGGGACCCAGCAAGCATGCCAGGAAGTGCTGCCAAGGCAGACGTCAGGAATACCACTTCCTCACTGTGGGAGCTCCCGGCAGCACCATTCTCTCCTCTGTAGAATGGAGATAATCCAGCGCCTGCTTCCTGCACCTCACTGTTCGGTACAGCAGCCACTACCCACCTGTGCCTGTTTAAATTACAGTGACCGGGTACAGTGGCTCATGCTTGTGATCTCAGCATGTTGGGAGGTGGAGGCGAGAGGATTGCCTGAGCCCAAGGGTTGGAGACCAGCCTGGGCAACTTGGCAAGACCTTGCCTCTACAATAAATATACTCTAGCCTGAATGACAGAGTGAGATTCCAACTCAAAAGTAAATAAATAAGTAAGAGTGCTGGCCAGGCACGGTGGCTTAAGCCTGTAATCCCAGCACTTTGGGAGGCTGAGGTAGGGGGATTGCCTGAGCCCGTGGTTCAAGAACAGCCTGGGCAACTTGGCGAGACTTCATCTCTACAATAAATCAAAAAATTAGCTGGGTGTGGTAATACGCGCCTGTAGTTCTGCCTACTTGGAAGGCTGAGGCGGAAGGATCGCCTGAGCCCAGCATGTTGATTACCAGGGTGGCCATGAGCATGCCACTGCACTCTAGCCTGGGCGACGGAGTGAGACTCCAACTTAAATAAATAAATAAGAGTGCAAATAAAATAAAAAATTCAACTCCTCAGTCATACCATGTGGCTCATGGCTGCCATATTGGACAGTGCAGTTCTAGAACATTCCATCATCATAGAACCTTCTAGTGGACAGTGCCATGTAAACCATGGGGAAGAGTAAATAGGTAAGGCACATACAGTATTTAGGACAATGCCTGGCACAAAGAAAGCTATTGTATATTAGCATCCTGGGGACATCTATGACTAATAGTGTTGTTACTGTCCACAGCACGTCATTGGCTGGGCACTATGCTAAGTGCTTCCACACGCTTGTTTCATTTGGCTGTTACCTGTCAGCAAAAGTGGGTTCTCATCTGTGTTTTATAGGTGGGAGCCTGATGTTGGCTGAGCTGCTAACACTCATGGAGTAGGAATTTGAACCCAGGCCATGCTCTTATCTCCAAGTTCTTTTCTAATTTTTATTTTCTTAGAGACATGGTCTTACTTCAGTGCCCAGGCTGGAGTGCAATGGTGTGATCACGGCTCGCTGCAGCCTCAACCTCCTGGACTCAAGCGATCCTCCTGCCTCACCCTCTCGAGTAACTGGGACTATAGGCACGTGCCTCCTCTCGGGTAACTGGGACTATAGGCACGTGCCATTTTTGTAATTTTTGTAGAGATGGGGTCTTGCTGTGTTGCCCAGGATGGTCTTGAACTCCTGGCCTCAAGCATTCCTCCTCCCTTGGCCTCCCAAAGTGCTGTGATCACAGGCATGAGCCACCATGTCCAGCCCCTGTTCTTTCCACCCCATCTGAGGCCCCTCTAAGTCAGGTGCCGGGGCCTGTCCTTGTCCGCTGTAGTCTGCTGTCCATAAGCCACAGTTCCATGAATCCCTTCGATGCTGTCACCTGGGGCCATCTGATGTGTCCGAGTTGCTCTCTCATAGTCTCTTTTTTAATTCGTCTTATTTCAGGACCCAAAGTACCATTCCAGTCAGGTAGAGTGTAATGCCTTCTCCCGAACCAATTCTGTCTCCCTGGGTTCGAAGCTCGCTCTCCCACTCTCCCTTGCTCCCTGACTCTGGGTCTCCAGTGGGTTCCCAAGGCCTTGCTTGTGGCTACAATGGTGTCCTCATGATTTGGGGGTTTAGCTGATCAGATCTATATGGGCAACAGGGATTTTTCTGGTCTTTTGGGATTTTCAAAGATTCATGTCTCTTTTTGTTGGTTTTGAGAAGAAAGGTGCTGCTGCTCTGTGTTAAAGAAAAAGGAGATTCCCTATGAGACACCTCCTTTCCCACGTATTGTTTATTTTTATTCTTCTTATTTCTGAAAAAAAAAAAAAGGATTGTGATGTTTTGTCCCATAGAGAGAAAAGGGGTCTGACTGCTTGCAGTCTGGGATCATTTTGGGGATTGCGGGCTGTATTGGTTAAGGCCTTTTGCAACTGTCTGTCTCTGAGAAGGAATTCCTTTCTCTTTTGATGTAATTGTCTCAGCAGTTCAGGCTGTTAGGAAAGGAAGGACTGCTCTCCTGGGGGCTGTGGGTTATGCCTTGTGACCTACGCATACGAGGGGGACCCCCCAAAATCCCAGAATTTATTTATACAAAGTTGTGTATTTTTATAAAACTTCAGACATTTTCAAGGTACTCTCCATTTGGTGCAATACACCTATCAAGACACTTTTTCCACTGCTCAAAACAGGTTGCCTTTTGGTGTTTCTGCTGTTTTTTGTTTCACCTCTTCCACATCAACAAAACATTTCCCTTTGAGGAATTTTTTTGTCAGGGAAACAAGAAAAAGTTGCTTGGGGCGAGATCAGGTGAATAGGGAGGGCGAAGCACAGGGGTCATGCCATTTTTTGACCAAAAACTGCTGAACACTCAGGGTGGTGTGGGCAGGTGTGCTGTCCTGGTGGAAGAACAGTCTCACCTGTTTGCCACAGCTCGGGACATTTTTTCTGCAAACGGTGACATGTCGTTCTCAAAACTTCCAGATAAAAACTTTGGTTGACCGTTTGATCCAGAGCAACAAATTTTGAGTGTACTACAAGGGGCTGCCTTCCAAAAGATAATCCCGGTTTTTTTGGGTCCCCTGTCGTATATCCAGGTTATTGGCTGTCACCTTCAGCAGGGTCACAGGTTGGCCCTCTTTTGACCTAGAGAGACACTGAGGATCCTAGAGGGATTCCCTGGCCGGCTAAGGTTCTCACTGTTGCTCTCAGTGCTGGAAACTTACTCTGGGCATGTGGCTGCTCGCAGGAGCCAGCCCTTCGAGGCCTCCGTAAAGGGCTGTGTGCAGTGAAGTCTCCCCCAGGCGGGCCTGGCTTGGCCCTCAACTGCTGTGTCTGTGGAGCCAGGTACAGGGTGACTCGATTGCCAAGACCTGAAGGGAGGTCACACGAGAGGTTGGCAGTGCTTCATGCGGGCTGCGGCTTGGGCTTGGCCCTGGTGGGAAGTGGCTGTGCTGTCCTGCTATGGGGCCATGGCCCCTAGTCTGTCCCTCTTGACCTGCAGAAAAGTGGCCATCACGACCAGGCCTTTTCTGTGTTTTTCCCAACAGAAAGCAGAAAGTATAGATTTTGTTTGTGAAATCTGAAACTCCTGAATTTTCCAATGAGGACAGCTCCTTTGTGTTAAGTGAATGCGTGTTAGTTCATGCATGCTAAAGAATGCTGTAGGAACCGAAGTCCGTCTGTGGGTTGTGTTCTACCACACGGCCATGCCAGTTTGTGGCCTCTGGATTGAGCTGTCTGGGAGCAGGGGGCCTGGATCCTGTTTTCAGGGTACCCGATAGAAATGCACACACCTGTGTTGGTGGTCCCCAAGAGCACTCCCAGTTTTGATCATTCAACAGGAGGACTCAGAGTGCACAGTCATGCTTATGGCTTGACTTGTTTATTTTATTTATTTTTTGAGTTGGGGGTCTTACTCTGTTGCTCAGGCTGGAGTGCAGTGGCACAATCACAGATCACTACCACCTTCTCGGCTCAGATGATCCTTCTACCTCAGCCTCCCAAGTAGCTGGGACTACAGGTGCATACCACATGCCTCGCTAATTTTTTAATTTTTTTTTTGTAGAGACGGAGTCTCACTATGTTGCCCCACTGGTCTCAAACTCCTGGGCTAATGCAGTTCTCCTCCCTCAGCCTTCCGAATAGCTGGGACTACAGGAGCACACCATTATGACTAGCTAACTTTTTAATTTTTTTGTAGAGATGGGGTCTCGCTATGCTGCCCAGGCTGGTCTCAAACTCCTGAGCTCAAGCAACCCTCCCACCTTGGCTGCCCAAAGTGCTGGGGTTACAGATGTGAGCCACTGTGCCCAGCCTTTGTGACTCTGACTTGTTATATTTCAAGGATGCAGAGCGGAGTTAGTCAAGGCAAAAGGTACTGGAGAGAAATCTGGAGGAAACCAGATGCAAGCTGCCAGGGCCCTCTCCTGGTGGATCCACCCAGGACATGCTTAATTCCCCTTGTGACAACAAGTGTAAAGGGTTGTCTGCCAGCTTGTTAGAGATCCAACCCCAGGCTTTTCCTTGGCAACTGGTCACGTAGACACCTCTGCCTAGCATCAAAATCCCAGCTCCCAGAAGAAAGCAGATTTCTGCGTAAGTCACATTGTTTGTACAGTTTGGGCACAGTGAGTCCCCCTGATGTGGGGGGTAAGAGAGTGGTGGGAATATGCCTCAACTCCACATTCCTGGATGCTAGCCAAGGGCCGGCCTTGTACTTGGGTCTGCTTTCTCAGAAGAGTGGACTCAGGCCTGCGTTGTTGACTTTTCTGCACATCGTCTGATAACCTCTCCTGCACCTGCTGCCAGGGCCTGATTCTGACAGCCTTGGCTGACCTATTTGGATTTGCGCCTGGTGGGCAGCCATTACTGGGAGCAGTAGCTGTCTAGACTCTAAAAGGCTGCTGGCTCTGTTCCAGGATCCGGTGTGATGGAGGGGGAGGAATGAGGGGCTCAGGGGCCTGGAGTGTCCCTCGGAACCAAGCCTGCCCTGTCTCCAGCTGCCCGAGAACTTGGAGAAGTTGACTCTGGGAGTGTTTGTTCTCTGTGAGGCTAAGTTCACCACTTTGGGTTTACCTGGAGATTGTGTTGGGACTAGCCTTGTGTGCATGCATCATTCATTTGTTCATGCATTCATTCACTTGTTAAGTTCTTACTCTATACCACATCCTGAGGAATCAGCTGACCCCTCAGTCCCCAGCCCCAACCTCTGTGCCCCGTCACCCCTTTTTAAGCCCCCTTTTGAAGAGTTCTAATCCTGGTCTAGCTCACTGAATTTTCCAGGCGGGAGCAGTACTCAGGGTTGGGTCTGCAGACAGCTGCCTCACACCTGCTTGTTGGCCCCCGCAGGATGGCCATGCCCATCAGTGTCACCAACCCCGACCTGCTGAGGCACAGCACGGAGCTCTTCATGGACAGTGGTTTTTCCCCCCTTTGCCAGCGCATGGGGGCCATGGTGGCCTTCAGGAGATTCGAGGACTTTGCCAGGTATGTGGCATGGCCTGTCTCCCGTCTCCCAAACCCCCAGGCAGAGGTGCTGGGCAGGCTTCTCCAGCTGCCACCCGTTCATTGCACACGTGGGTGGCAGAATATTAACAGCGTTGTAGCCAAGAGTGGGAGCCTGTGTGTCCCCTTGCCTGGGTTTAAATCCTGGCTCTGCCTTTCCTGAGAGTCTGAGCAAACAACTTAACTTCTGACCTTAGTTTTGTCTTCTGTAAAACGGGAATCATAGAAGGACCTACTTCATGGGGGCACCTTGAAAATTAAATGAGACAGTATATGTGACATAATGTATTTAAAGCATAATTAATATGCAAGTGACGTGTTCAGTAAGTTAGCTATTAGTACTGTTACTGTGATGGTCTCTTTTTCAACCTTTTACTGCGTATGATGCATTGTGCTTGAATTGTCTCATTGAATTTTCACAGAAGCCTCATGAGGTGTAGGAATTAACTCTTAATATCCTTATTTGACTCAGAGGTTTCTAGTATCTCTCAGCCAGTAAAAGGGGGAGTCATGAGTTGACCTCAAGTCCAGCAGATACCCTAAAGTGTTGGCATTCTTTCCTTTATCTCTACTCACGGGCCACATGCATTCATTCTTCCCTTTTGGGAAGGACCCTATCCAGTACCTTGGACCTAGACAGGGGACCATCTGATCTCTGCACAGAGTTGGATGAGATCACAGCATGTTGGCTGGGAAAGAGGGAGGGCCTGGGACTCCCCTTAGCCTGGCTGGAATGCCTGGTCTCATCCCAGGGTGCAGCAGCCCCTTAGCCCTTCCTCCTCACCCGTGCCCCCAGGAACTTTGATGAAGTCATCTCCTGCTTTGCCAACATGCCCAAAGACACCCCCCTCTTCAGTACGGCCCGCACCTCCCTATACTCTGAGGATGACGGCAAGGTGAGCATCCGAACCCAGGGAGCAGCCTGGGGAGGGAGTGGCCTGTGACCCCCAGCCCTCCTACCCCACCTGCTGTTCTCCTCTCTCAGAACCTCAGAGAAGAGCCCATCCACATTCTGAATGTGGCCATCCAGCATGCAGACCACCTGGAGGATGAGGCGCTGGTGCCCATTTTACGGATGTTTGTACAGTCGAAGGTACTCTGGGCACACCTCCAGTTTTGAGGGAGTTGCTAGAAGGGAAAGGGGCTGGTCTCAGCGAGGTGGCTGGGGCTCCCAAGTGGTGCTGGGGAGCTTGTCCTGCCCAGAGACTCAGAGCCGCAGACCTGGCCCCCTTCCTAGGCCTACCCTTCCTCGTAGCCAGTGACCTTGCACAGAGGTGGCTGAACGTGGGGACAGCATCTCTCTTTCCCAGGGTATTGTTGTGATTAAATGACATAGTATCTCCACTGCTTGGCTAGTCCCGAGCACAGAGAACACACTCAGTAAACAGCTCCAGGTTGTGACAACACGCAGCAGTGCTTCAGTCCTTTTTATGGCCCAAGAATATTCCATTGTGTCTTTGGTTTCTAATACAGAAAAATATCCTTGTGGATTATGGACTCCGAAGAATCACATTCCTGATTGCCCAAGAGGTCAGTCCAACTCGCAGTCCCTCTGAGTCTTTTCCATTCCCCAGCCTCGGTGGGGCCGTTTATTTGATCTTTCCTCTGTGAACTGGGTGGAGGTGCTCAGTCACTAGGAAAGAGAAAGCCTTTCAGGTGATTTGCAAGTGCCTCATTGTAGAAGCGGACGGGGTCAGGTTCACAGTCACGAAATAAGTGTGCAAATATATCAGTTGACTTTTGCTTGATATAATTGTCTTTTACTTGGATTTCTTTTTGCAGAAAGAATTTCCCAAGTTTTTCACATTCAGAGCAAGAGATGAGGTATGACCAGTAGTGATGATCGATTCTCTCCTCCCTGACCTCTTTGGTAATCATGAAGAGTATAGTTCCCAGTCCTTAAGGCATCGCCATATTCCAGAATGTGGCAACTTTTGTGTGGACTCCAGCCTTCCTTGGACTTGTATTTTCAAGGAGATTCTCTTGTTCCTGCCTGGAGCTCAGACCTGCAAGTCTTGCCCTTTCAGCCTCACCACAGGTTTCTGTCTCACTTGGATAATTTTTGGACTTGCTGGTGTACTCAGTAACGATGTTTTACCAACCTCTTTTTCTTATGCTGTTGTAGAACAGGGCTTGGCAAACTGACTTGCAGTCTGGTTGCCTGTTTTATGAATAAAGTTTTATTGGAACACAGCCACAGTGGTCCTAAAGAAAGGCTCCAAACGGTCTGTTCATTTGATTTGTATTGTCTGCTATGGCTTTTTCTCTAACAGTAGCAGAATTGAGTAGGTGTGACAAAGCTTAGATGATCCGTTGCCCTAAAACATTTAATATCGGATCCTTTAAGAAAAAGTTTCCTGATCCTTATTCTAGAACAGGCAGGCTTGTCCCCAACACAGATTCAAGAGCCCCCAAAATTTAGCCTTTTGTGTTTTTTTTTTTTTTTTTTGAGTTGGAGTCTCACTCTGTCGCCCAGACTGGAGTGCAGTGGCCGCTCCCGGCCACCGCAGCCTCGGCCTGCTGGGCTCCGGCGATCCTTCCGCCTCAGCCTTCCGAGTAGCTGGAATTACAGGCATGCACCACCACGCCCGGCTGATTTTTTGATTTATTGTAGAGATGAGGTCTCGCTGCCCAGGCGGGTCTTGAACCCGCGGGCTCAGGCAATTCACTCACCTCAGCCTCCCAAAGGCGCGGGATTACAGGCTGAGCCACCGAGCCCGGCTTCTTTGTGTTTTAATTTATCCACAGGCTTACTTTTCCAGCTAAGACTTGTTTTTTTGTTGTTGTTTCTTTTTTTTTTTTATTTTAATAAAACTTTATAGAGGTAGAGTCTTGCTGTGTTGCCCAGGCTGGTCTCAAACTCCTGGCCTCAAGCGATCCTCCTGCCTCAGCCTCCCAAAGTGCTTAGATTATAGGCGTGAGCTGCCATTCCTGGATTATTATTATTATTATCATTTAGTTTGGTCTCCAGCACCATTAGTTGCTTTCTTTTGAGGGACCAGTTTCCTCAATAAACCAGGGGTTAGCAGCTTCTTGAGAATCGGTGCCTGCCGTGGCAGGTAGAGGGCAGCCTGGTCCCGCTGGCAGGTGCTGGGGGCTGGCAGAGCTCACTCAAGAGGCAGGCCGCTCCCCAGTTTTGCCATGCTCACGGCCCTCCTCAGATCTTAACAGACTCCAACTCTGGAGACCTGGAGATTACTCACAGTTAGGGAACACTATGAGCGCTACACTTCTGAGTGTCAAACCCGTGGATACCAGGGGTCTGCAGAGAGGGGTGTGGACCCAACAGGCATGTAGTCCCAGCATCAGATTGCGTGTGCACATGTCTGTCTTCTCTCTCCGACCGGCCTACAGTTTGCAGAAGACCGCATTTACCGTCACCTGGAGCCCGCCCTGGCCTTCCAGCTGGAGCTCAGCCGGATGCGTAACTTCGACCTGACTGCTGTGCCCTGCGCCAACCACAAGATGCATCTTTACCTGGGCGCTGCCAGGGTGAAGGAAGGGGCAGAAGTGACGGACCACAGATTCTTCATCCGCGCCATCATCAGGCACTCAGACCTGATTACAAAGGTAGGTTGTCTCGGAGCATCTCTTTCTTCCTCATGCCCTGGCCTTCTCTTCCTCAAGTTCCTGCAGGACCCTGGGCTGCACGCTGGGACCGAGGGTGCCCCAGGCACTTGTGGCCCTGCCCTGGCGGTACTCTAGTGTGGGGCGGGAGGCGGAGAGCAAAATGGCCAGTGATCACATCCCAGCGGGTGGCACTTGGATCCGTTGCCTGTATCACGTGGCACTCTCTGCAGGAGAAGAGAATTGCGAGGATGGAAAGATTGTTCAGAGTCTCTTGTATTTGCCAATTGAGTAAATGATCACTTTCCATTGTTTCTTGCATTTGGAAAAATAATATTTGATTATATTGTGAAAATTTTTAAAAATCAAATGAAAGGAGCCAGGCACAGTGACTCATAGCTATAATCCTAGTGCTTTGGGAGGCTGAGGCAGGAGGATCGCTTGAGCCCAGGAGTTCAGGTTTAGCCTGAGCAACATAGTGAGACCCCATCTCTACAGAAATAAAAAAAAGAAAAATAGCCAGGTATGGTGGTACACACCTATAGTTCCAGCTACTCAGGAGGTTGAGGCAGAAGGATCACTTGAGCCCAAAAGTTCAAGGCTTCAGTGAGCTGTGGGTGCACCACTGCATTCCAGCCTGGGGGACAGAGGGAGACCTATTAAGCAATAGTCCTGTCTCTATTAAAAAAGTAAATAGATCCAATGAAAGAACCCAGAATCCTGCCATTGAGGAATCAGCCCTCAAGGATTGGGTTGAGAGTTGTTGACACTTTCTAGAAAATTCCATTCTTACAACCTAGAGTGGTAGCTCTAATGTTGCAGATAAGAGTTCATAGTGGACAGACCATTTGGAGACTTTCTTTAGGACCACTGCATGCTATTTCCTTGCATGGATGGACCATGTGTGTAATTTTTTTTTTTTTTTTTTTAGAATCCCCTGTTGATGGATATTAACCTAATTACAGTTTTTTGCTACCTCAGTCAACTAGATGTTCTAATGGGTTTTGGTATCGAGGTGTGGCGATGCCAACAGATCAGGAGACAACTGCCATTGAAGGGACTTTTGGGTACACACAGTTCTCAAGAAGGGGCTCACTATGTGGGGGTCACTTGGGGAAGCACAGGGTTGGTCAGGAGGCAGAGGGAGTGGGGGAGGACATGGACAAGAGCCTCGACTGTGGTTTCCTAGGGAAGAAATGGGTAAGGTAGGATAAGCAGTTTGGGATGGACTCATCTTAGTAATTTCTGCAGGTCCTGGGGTATAGGAGTTGCTTCTAGTTGCCTGGCACCTGGCCTGGGTGATTCGGGCAGGTGGAGCTTGGGTGCAGCGGGTGGCTGGGACGTGGGCTCTGGATTGGTTGCTTTGTATTTGGAAAGGACACCCACAGGTGGGCTGCTCATCACCTCTAGGAACTGGCTAGCCCCAGAGGCAAAGGCACCATCCCTCCAGGTTCTGCAGAGTCCTAGATGACAAGGGTCAGAGCTCAGAAAATAAAAGGCGTAGCTAGTCCACCTGACAGTTCTGCTGCCCCTTCACCTAGAGGCAGGGCTTCGACACCCTTCACCTTGGAAGTAGGAGCTACCCCTGGAGGCAGGACTGTGGTTCCGGCACACCCTTTGGAGGGGGTGCTTTCCTCCTGCCTCTGCACCCCCCCCAGCCCTTGCCTGAGCCACTGCTCCTCTGCCCTGACAGGAAGCCTCCTTCGAGTACCTGCAGAACGAGGGGGAGCGGCTGCTGCTGGAGGCCATGGACGAGCTGGAGGTGGCATTCAACAACACCAGTGTGCGCACCGACTGCAACCACATCTTCCTCAACTTTGTGCCCACGGTCATCATGGACCCTTCCAAGGTCTGGCCTCAGGGGATGTTGTCGGGCTGTGGGACACCCTCGCATGGCTCTCCATGGCATGTTGCTCTGGGGTACTGTCTCCTGATGCTTAAGAGTTCCAGGAGGAACATATGCGGATTTGAGCCTCAGTTGCTGCAGGAGGAGAATAAACCTCCCCTGGCCCAGTTTCAGAGCCGTGTTGTAGCCACAGCCCTGTGTAGGCGTGCTTCGTCCTAAGGTTGACACGGGTGCTTGAAAGATCTGGCAAAACACAATTTTGTCCAGTCCCAGGCCCCATCGGGGGCTGCATGTGGATGGGGGCGGGGAGTAAGACCCTGAGGCTGATGGCTGAGCATTTTGCGTTCTCCCTCAGCCAGTCCTTCAGAGCAGGCAGACTTGTGAAGGAGATATTTTTTTAGGGTGGTGATTGTGGGATGGAAGATGGCCTAGTATGCTAGTTTGGCATCTATAGGAAGCAGAGGGCCAGTCCACAAAGTTCCAGAAGGAGACAATGAGTGTAGGCTTGAGAGCTATGTAAAGATGATGTCAGCTGAGCGCAGTGGCTCATGTCTGTAATCCCAGCACTTCGGGAGGTGGAGGTGAGAGGATTGCCTGAGCCCAGGGCTCAAGACCAGCCTGGGTAACTTAGCGCGAAACCTTGTCTCTACAATAAATAAAAAAATTATTCAGATGTGGTGGCGTACGCCTGTAGTTCTAGCTACTTGGAGGCTGAGGCTGAGGGTGTCTCACTGTCACCCAGGCTAGAGCATAATGGCACACTCACAGCCACCCCAGCATCGACCTGCTGGGTTCCGGTGGCCCTTCTGCCTCAGCCTTCCAAGCAGCTGAAACTACAGCCATGTGCTACTATGGCCAGCTAATTTTTGATTTATTGTAGAAACAAGGTCTCACCAAATTGCCCAGGCTGGTCTCGAACCTGCGGGCTCAGGCAGTCCACTCACCTCAGCCTCCCAAAGTGCTAGGATTACAGGCTGAACCACCGAGACCCAAGATGCCTTTGGTTGTTAGGAGCTAATACTTTTTGTCGGATACATACTATGTCCCAGGCATTTTGCATTCAGTAGATCTTGTCATCGTGTTGTTGTCAGTGCTGTTGCAAGTGTGCATGGAGCAAATGGGCTCTGAGTCGGGACTTGTTATGTTTGGGACAGATCGAGGAGTCTGTGCGTTCCATGGTTATGCGCTACGGTAGCCGGTTGTGGAAACTCCGTGTGCTACAGGCTGAGGTCAAGATCAACATCCGCCAGACCACCACTGGCAGTGCCATTCCCATCCGCCTGTTCATCACCAATGAGTCAGGCTACTACCTGGACATCAGCCTCTACAAAGAAGTGACTGACTCCAGATCTGGAAATGTAAGGCTTGGACTGGGCTGTGGGGTCTAAGTCAGGGACCAAATAGGCTCCTCAGGACATTGAAACATAAATTGAAGGTACGTTTGGCCAGGTGCCATGATGCACGCTTGTAATCCCAGCATTTTGGGAAGCCGAGGCAGGAGGATCACTTGAGGCCAGTTTGGGCAACATAGCCAAACTCCATCTCTATTAAAAAAAAAAAATCAAAATATTAGCGAGGCGTGGTGGTGCATGCCTATAGTTCCAGCTACTTGGGAGGCTGAGGTGGGAGGATCACTTGAGCCCAGGAGGTCAAGGCTGCAATGAGCCATGGTCATGCCACCATATTCTCGCCTGGACCATAGAATGAGACCCAGACTTAAAAAAAAAAGTAACTTCAGTGGCCATCTTGCCTTTCTATGCTGTGCCTAAGTCGGGTAGCCTCTCTGAGTTTTTTGATAAACATGTTAGCATCTGCATCCCAGCTGTTCATTCTGCTAGAACGAATCTTCCAAAGTTTAATCCATTCTGTGGCCATATTTGGCATAAGATGTAAAGTACTGTGGTTGATTACAATACAGCCCCCAGATTGGGTCACTTAGGGAAATAGGCATTTCTCCATATGTGTTTTAGAATAAACTTTTGAAAAGTGAATCAAATATCCTTTTGACTGCCATTTATAGAGACACACACATACACACACATACACACACATACACGAGAGAGGACCCCAAAATAGAATTTATTTATAAAAAATTGTGTATTCTTGCATGTTTGAGGTTCAGTCACCTTCAAAGTACTCTCGGTTTGATGCAATATACCTATTAAAACTCTTTTTCCACTGCTCAGAACAGTTTTTGGACTCATCAATTTTTTTTTTGGTTTTTTTTTTGAGTTGGAATCTCACTCTGTCACCCAGATTTGGAGTGCAGTGGCTGCTCCCGGCCACCGTAGCCTCGACCTGCTGGGCCCCAGCGATCCTTCCGCCTCAGCCTTACAAGTAGCTGTAACTACAGGTGCACACTACCATGCCCAGCTAATTTTTTATTTATTGTAGAGATGAGGTCTTACCAAGTTGCCCAGGCGGGTCTCGAAACCACAGGCTCAGGCAGTCCACTCACCTCAGCTTCCCAAAGGCGTGGGATTACAGGCTGAGCCACCAAGCCCAGCTTGGACTCATCAATTTTGATGCCTTTTCGTGCTTCTGCTGTTTTTTGTTTCATCTCTTTCTCATGGGCAAAATGTTTCCCACTGAGGACTTTTTCATCTGAGGAAATAAAAAATTTGCTGGGGCAAGATCAGGTGAATGGGGTGGGTGGAGCATGGGTACCATTCTGTTTTTGGTCAAAAACTGCTGAACACTCAGTGAGATGTGGGCAAGTTGTGTGAATCACCCATCATGAAATGGGCAAATGCGTTGGAAAAAATCTCTAAAAAAGAAAATTAACTGAGGCCAAAAGCAGCGTCTCACAACAACACTAGCTGGTACACTGATGCCGATGGGTTCCTAGAACACTTATCTAGCGGGGGTACCTTGTACTACAAGGAACCTGCCTTCCCCCCCAAAAATTCTGTTTTTTGGGGGGTCCCCCTCCTAATATTATATAATATATGTAAGTATATATACATACTTTTTTTGAGGAGGGGGAGGTTGGATTCTCACTCTGTTGCCCAGGCTGGAGTGCAGTGGCACGCTCATGGCCACTCCAGCCTCAACCTGCTGGGCTCCAGCAATCCTTCTGCCTCAGCCTTCCATGTAGCCGGAGCTACAGGCGTGCGCTACCATGCCTGGCTAATTCTTGATTTGTTGTAGAGGTGAGGTCTCGCCAAGTTGCCCAGGCTGGTCTTGAACCCGTTGGCTCAGGCAATCCACTCGCCTCAGCCTCCTAAAGTGCTGGGATTACAGGCTGAGCCACTGAGCCTGGCCCATACTTTTTAAAGAAATGGGATCTCACTATGTTGCCCAGACTATCCTTGAACTCCTAGGTTCAAGAGATCCTTGTACCTCAGTCTCCCAAGTAGCTAGGATAACAGATGTATGCCACTGCACTTGGCCTATATGCTTTTTATTTTGAAATAATTGAAGACTCCAGGCTCTCAAGAAATTGCCTACATAGTACAGAGAAAAAAAAATAATACAGAGAGTTTCCAGGTACGCTTCCCCTAATGGTAACATTTCACTTAACCATAGTACATTATCAAAACAGGAAATTGATGCTGGTACAGCATTGTTAACACCAGCCCAGGCGGAATTCAGATTTCATCAGTTTGTATACACACCCTTGTTTGTTGTGGGCACTGTGATGGCTCTGTTTGGGAACTGTGGAGGCTTTTACTGGTTGCCCTTGGTGGGGAAGAAGAGAATTTACCCATCCCAGGCACTCCCATCATAAAGTGACACGGCACATTTTGCTCCCCACCACAGCATTTTCATTGAGCTGGGGTAGAAGTAAATTGGGCTGCGAGGTTCTCAGAGACCTGCCTTCCTCACTCTCTACTTTTCTTTCTTTCTTGACTAGATCATGTTTCACTCCTTTGGCAACAAACAGGGGCCCCAGCACGGGATGATGATAAATACTCCCTACGTCACCAAGGATTTGCTTCAGGCCAAACGATTCCAGGCCCAGTCGCTGGGAACCACCTACATCTATGACTTCCCGGAAATGTTCAGGCAGGCAAGTCCAGTGGCTCAGATGCGGCACCACCCCGGGACCCCCCAGCAGACTCTGCCAGAACCAAAGCCTGTCCTTAGTCCCCCTTCTGAAGACCTAGTCCAAAGAACAAGTCTTCATGAAGGAAAAAATTAACGTGGGGAATTACTTCATGGTATTTTCTTCCCCCAGATCTAACTTTCCCCCAATGATAAAAGTAATATGATACAGAAACTTCAGAAAATAAAGGAGAGTGGAAAAAAGAAAAAAAAAGGAACTCATCGTCTTACGTCCTAATGACAGATTGCTGAACAGCTTGCTGTGTTTCCTTCTGATCTTTTTAGTGGCCATTTATTAAGTGCATGCTACCTGCCAAGCACAATTTTAAGGCTAGATAGACTATAAGGAAAAGGATGGGCTCGCTGCCTTTGAGGAATTTTTAGTCTGCTTTTAAAAAGTAATGCTTTGTTATGTTTTTCTGATGATTGAAGTACTCAATGGAAAATACAAAAAAGTAGGAATAAGGAAATAGAATTTCACCTGTATGTATCTTCTCACCATTCGTGCCTGCTATAATGTTTTAGTGTGTTTCCTCCATTATATTTTTTATGCCTTTATTTGTTTATATCATAGAGCCTTTAAAGGGGACTGAACTTGCTGACATTGGTGATGTGATGTCTCCTCACATCCCCACCGTTGCTTCGTGAATGATGGTTATGAAACTGAGTTGGAGGACTTCCTGTAGGCTGGAAGTGCCTGTGCCTCCCTGTGCCTGTGCCTCAGGCTTAGGGGATACTGGGGAGTAGGGAAAGCTGATCTTTGGGGTACCTAGGCCTGGGCGTGAATGCTAGTCTACCCCTTGCCTTCTGCTGTCACTAGGCGAGTTTCTTTACCTCTCTGAGCTTCAGCTTCCTCCTCTGTAAAATGAGGATAACAATAGTACCTACTTCACAAGATTCTTGGAGAAGTATATGTATTCAGTAGGTGCTTAATAAATGGAAACTTTTATGGTAAAAAATGTCATTGTCTGTATCCTTTTGCTTCTGTCTTTAAGGGCCATAGGGGAAGAAGCATAACTAAATCAGGAGCAAACTGTTCCTTTTTTTTTTTTTCGTTAGATAAAGAAACAATGCTATGGATAACCCATACATTTGAGAACTTAAATGAAATGGAAAATTTCCAAAGAAAATATATCTTATCAAAACTGACTTAGGAAGAAATAGAAAAATCAGATCTGGGTAGATTATAAGCATTAAATAATTGAATTCATAGTTTAAAAAACAGGGTCCAGATGGTTTTCTAACAATTTTATCAAACCTTTAGGGAACATAGTTCCCTCTGTCTACAGATTGTTTAGAGAGTAGAAAACAAAGCGAATACTTCTTAACTCATTTGATCAATTATTATTATCCTAATATTAATCTCAGATAAGAACTTTAGGAAAAGGGAAATTTGATATTTTATTTATGAACATAGACACAAAAATAATACAATATTAACAAATTAAATCCAGCCATGATTTTTTTAAAAAGCTTAGACTAAGTAGGATTTATCCTGTGATTTTCTTATGTGATTTGATATTAGGAAATCTGTCCATATAATTTGCCATAGTAATAGATTAAGAAAAAAATGTAAATCTCTCAATAGGTGTAAAAAAAATTTGACAAGACAGCATCTATTCATCAAAAAAGTTTTAATAAACTAAGAATAGAGGAGAATTTTGTTATCTTGATAATAGATATCAACCTAAAATTAATAGATCGTAATGGTGAAGTGTTAGATGTATTCTCTCTAAAGACAGGTACAGGACAGAAATATCCATTAACACTAATTCTATTCCACATTTTTTACTTCTGTTCCTCCCAAATGCAAAATGCAAGAAAAAGAAATAAAAAATATAAAAACTAGAAAGAAAAAAGCAAAGTGGCCTTTTTTAACATTTTTGCAAATGTCATAAATGTCTGTATAAAAAAATGTAAAAGGCTGGGTGCAGTGGCTCACGCTGGTAATCCCAGCACTTTGAGAGGCAGAGGTGGGAGGATCGCTTGGGCCCAGGAGTTCAAGAGCAGTTTGGGCAACATAGTAATACCTCATCTTTACCAAAAAAAAAAAAAAAAAAAAAAAAAAAAGCTGGGTATGATGGTATGTGCCTATAGTCCCAGCTACTTGGGAGGCTGAGGCAGGAGGATCATTTGAGCCCAGGAGTTGGAGGCTGTGTGGTGAGCCATGATCATGCCACTGTACTCCAAGCTTGTCCAGTGGAGTGAGACCTTGACTAAAGAAAAAGAAATACAGGAGAATCTATAGAACTAGTTAGAGCGTACAGCAAGATTGCTAAATATAAGATCAGTATACAAAAATTAATTGTATTCTCATATACCAGCAGTAATTGTACAGTATAACTGGGAAAAAACACCATTTGCAATATCAAGATCAACCATAAGTTTACCTAGGAATCAACCAAAAAACAAGATCTTTATGGAAGAAATATTAAAACTTTGTTGAAATACTTTAAACCTAAATTAATGCAGAGATAGCTTTGGTATTTGTAAAGATGTCAGTTTTGCCCAAATTAATACATTCAGTATAATTCCAGAGTTTTTTTTGTGAAACTTAAAAGGCTGATCCTAAAATTCGTATAAGAAAGCAAGAGCCCATGAGTAGTTAAAACGGTTTGAAAAAGAACAAAGTCAGGAGGACTCATCTTAGCAGATGTCATAACTTACCTTAAAGCAACAATGATTAAGACAATGGTGTATTACTGTGATGGAGTTAAACAGACCAGCAGGACCCCACAGGGAGCCTAGAATCAGGCCACTCTCAAGCAGCACCTTGACAGGACACACAGATGGGATTGTGAATCAGAGGGGTGGGTTTCAGTAAAAGATACAGGGAACCTGCTTATCTTTTTTTTTTTGAGCCACCGCAGCCTCAACCTGCTGGACTCAGGCCACCCTTCCACCTCAGCCTTGCAAGTAGCTGGAACAATGCCACCATACCTGGCTCATTTTTTGATTTATTGTAGAGATGAGGTCTCGCCATATTGTCCAGGTTGGTCTCGAACCCTGGGCTCAGGCAGTCCTCTCACCTCTGCCTCCCAAAGTACCGGGATTACAGGCGAGCCACCGTGCCTGGCGGAACCTGCTTATCTAGTAGCCAAAAATAATTTTAGATTTCTGCCATATCCTGTAACAAAAATAAACCTCAAGAAGATTAAAGCCACTTGGAGCCAGTTAAAAGCATAAACTATACAGAAAAAGACCTGTTAATTTTCTTTAAAACTTAAAAGTTATTTACATAAAAGAGAAAAGACATGCCCCAGACGTACCATTAGCAAAGAGTTAGCACTAGATGATCTCCAGAATACTTAAAAATCAATGAGGAAAGACAAGCAAAACCATAAAAAAAAAAAAAAAAAAAAAAAACATGGGCAGGAGTTAGAGACAGAAATCTCATCAAAAAGAAACACATGATTAATAAACATGTTAAAGGGTGCTCACCTCACAAATAATCAGCAAAGGACAGATTAATATCGCAGTACGGCTTCAGATGAGTAAACAATTAAAAATTGACAAAAGCAAATGTTGGAGACTATGTGGTGCTAAGGAGTTCCATTCTTACTAGACTTGTAAAGAGGTTTAAAAAATTGGGGAGTGACTTGATAATATCAGGTAAGTTGAAGCTTCACATTCCCTGACTCAGCAGTTCTACTCCCAGAGGTGGGTGTGTGTGTGTGTGTGTGTATCTATCATCTATCATCTATATATGTATCTGTTTTTCATCTATTATCTGTTTATGTGTCTACCTACTATCTATCATATAGATGTATCTATCATCTATATATATCTATTTTTCATCTTGTATCTATGTATCTCTCTACATCTATCATACATATGTATCTGTCACCTATATATGTATCTGTTTTTCATCTATCTTCTACGTATCTACTATCATCTGTATATGTATCTTTCATCTATTTATCATCTATATGTGTGTCTGTCAGTTATTTATGTATCTTCATCTATCTATTTATCTATCTACATATAGATACATCTATCTGTTGTCTACATGTGTCTATAATCTATTGATATATCACCTATCTATATATGTATCATCTATCATTTATCATCTATATATGTATCTGTCACCTATCTATCATATATACATACCTATCATCTATTTATGTATCTTCTATCTGTGTAGCTATGTATCATCTATGTATCTATTTATCATCCATTCAGCCATCTAGTGAAACTCACCCATGTTTATAAGAAGAGACCATGAGAATGTTTATTATAACATTATTGGTAATAATACTGTAGGACCGGAAACAACCTAAATGTTCCTAAACAGAATTATGAATAAATAAATTGTGATATATTCACACCATGGAAAACTAGACAGCAGGTATAATGAAATAAACCAGAGCAAACTTTATCAATGTGGATAAATCTCTCAAACATAAGGGGGAGTAGAAAAACTCACAGAAGGATATGTCCAGTGTGGTACCATTTATTTAAAGTTTGTCACGCAAAGTAATGCTGTGTCTTTAATGGATGCATATATGACAAAGTAAAAACATAAAAGCATGCATGGGACTGGTAGGCACTAAATTTAGGATAACGGTTATGGGGGCTGGGTGGGGAGGGCAACAACCATGGCCTTCACCTGCATCTTTCTTCTTTCTTTAAAAAGCCTTAAGCAACCATGGAAAAGCTAAGGTTTGACAGAGCCACCAGATGTGCACCTGGTGTTTATTTTTCACTCTTCATTGGTATTTAAAAATATGCTTTACATATTTCATCATCAAAAAAGAAAGAACTAGAAAACTTGCACCAGAATCACAGTGAATCATCTCCATGTGGGAAAGATGGTATTTCTCTCCTACTGACTTCAAGTTTTTCCTCTTTCCTCCTCTCTCCCTAGGCTCTCTTTAAACTGTGGGGCTCCCCAGACAAGTACCCCAAGGATATCCTGACGTACACTGAGTTAGTGTTGGACTCGCAGGGCCAACTGGTGGAGATGAACCGACTTCCTGGTGGAAACGAGGTAATAGAGAGCCCAGCCCCTGGCCAGAGTCGCCCTTCCAAAAAGTTTCCCCTGAAGAAACAAGCTCATTTTTCTTGTGCATTCACCTTCTTGCCAGGTGGGCATGGTGGCCTTCAAGATGAGGTTTAAGACCCAAGAGTATCCTGATGGGCGGGACGCGATTGTCATCGGCAATGACATCACCTTCCGAATTGGGTCCTTTGGCCCAGGGGAAGACCTTCTGTACCTGCGAGCGTCTGAGATGGCCCGGGCAGAGGGCATCCCCAAAATCTACCTGGCAGCCAACAGCGGGGCCCGTATTGGCATGGCAGAGGAGATCAAACACATGTTCCAGGTGGCATGGGTGGACCCAGAAGACCCCCACAAAGTACGTCATGATGCCGATGGGGGTGTGGTCCCGCTCAGCTAGTGTTATATTTTCAGTGGGGGTGATGGTGCCTGTCGGGGGGTGGTGACAGAATCTTATTCTTTTTACCTACAAAGCACATAGATACACATAGTGTATAAACAAGCAAACAGTCTGTTGGTGGTATTAACATTTCATTGGGGGTGGTGACAATTCACAAAAAATGCCTTAAAAAGGCCCCTTTAGGGGGATGACAATGAAAAAAAGTTTATAAACGCTCAACTGATATATACTGAGCTCTTGTGAATCGAGTCTGTGTGGAGAATGCAAAGGTCAATGATTCACCGTCCCTGCCCTCGGGGAGTTCTTAAAAATCATCTAGAGATGTGTAGACACCAGCTACGGGACAGGATGAATGGTAGAAAGGCACACATTCTGTGTGTGAGACTACGGGGGTGGCCATTCTTTCCAACCAAACCTTGGAGGCGTGATGTCCCTGTCCCCAGGAGACAAAAATTATGTTTGGGGCAGCAATGAAATATAATTTCCATATACATGTGTATATACTCTGTGTACATAAGCAGTGTATCTTTAAAATTTCATGAGTGGGATTCTGGCAATAAGGGAAAAAGAATGAGAAGTCTCCTTAGGGGAGCAGTAATGAAAAGATTGAGAAACATGGAGTCAGAAAGAACAGGAAAGGCATGAGGCTGTGTTGTGAGGATGGGGGTAAAGGGCTTAGCTCAAAGCAGACCTTCAGCATATAGAGGTTATTAATGTGTCACTGATATCAGAGGTATTGATGTGTCATTGACATGTTATTGATATCCAACCCTACAGTGTTAACATAAAAAAACAAGACAGCTGTCAGTGCAGGGAACTGGATTCATAGCCTCACTAAAGTATATCTTTAAGGGATTTAAATACCTGTACCTGACCCCCCAAGACTACACCAGAATCAGCTCCCTGAATTCCGTCCACTGTAAGCACATCGAGGAAGGAGGTGCATCCAGGTAAGTAACTTATTAAGTAGCACCTTAATTTTGCAGGTGGTTAATTTTAGTTAGTAATGGGCAATCCATCTCTTCCTCCAGGCTTGTGGCCATATTTTCAAGTGGGGTGGTGGTGTTTATACAGTGGGATTCCCGAGCCTCTACTGGGGGCACTGATGACTTAAACATTTGGGATGTTCTCCAGGGTGAACCCATTCTTGCCATTCTAAAATGACTCACCTCTTTCACAAAAGTAACACATCATTCAAGGAGAATTAGATTTGCTTCTCATGATGTCCCAGGAGCTGCAGGCTCACATTTTACTGGGGGGGGGGGGGGCATGCAAAAAACCTCCAGGATTTGTTTATAAAAAATTGTGTATTCTTGCATGTTTAAACTTCAGTCACCTTGAAAGTATTCTCCATTTGATGCAATAAAAAGCACCTATCTATTGCTCAAAACAGTTTTTGAACTTGTCGATTTTGATGTCCAAGTGCTTCTCCCAGTTTTTGTTTCACCTCTTCCACAGCGGCAAAATGTTTCCCACTGAGGACCTTTTTCATCCAGGGGAACAACAAAAAAAAGTCACTCAGGGTGAATAGAGAGGGTAGGGAGACATGGGGGTCATGCTGTTTTTGGCCAAAAACCGCTGAACACGGCTGGGTGTGGGCAGGTGTGCTTGTAAATGACCCATCGTGAAATGGACAGGCGTATTGAAAGAATCTGCAAAGAAAAATTCACTGAAGCTGAATGTAGTCTCTCACAACAATGCCAGCTGGTACACTGATGCCGATGGGTTCCTGGAACACTTACCTAGCAGGGGGAGCCTATACTGCAAGGGGCCTGCCCTCCAAAAGATAATTCTGGGGCTTTTTTGGGTCTCCCTCGCATGACCAAGTTATTCAAATGGGTGCTGTGGTGGTTTGGTGAGGCTGAGGCAGGGGTCTGATTTTTGAGAACGTTCAAAGGCTACTGGCTGTCTTTTCCAGAGCAAGTTGTGTTTATCTCAGTGGGATTGACTAAATCAAAATTTCCCAGACTGGGTTTTCTGGAATGTTAGTGATATGCACCATGGGGGTGAGGGGCAATAATTTCCATAGTCAGATGAGTCTGAGAAACACCGGGTTAACTTAAATCTAATAAGCATCTTCACTACAGGCCTTCTTAGAACCTTTACATGCTAATGTGCTTTGTGGATCTCTGCCGGGGGGTTGACTGGATGGTGTTTCTTGTGCTTCTTTTGTGTCCATGGACTTGACTAACTTATTGCGAACAGGCTTCCCCTATGTGTCCCCATCTCTCTGAAGAGCAAATGCTGCTCTAGATTGCTTTTGGAAGAATGCTGGGCGGGGGTGACATTTCACCGAGACAGCCTCCAACAGGCATATCTCTTCGGTGGGGGGAGGAGGGTGGTGGCTGCCTGTGCTGTCCTTTCCTTTTGAGAACTCTTTTGCCCAGCGTGAGGGTCCTAAGACCCCTGCTTTTGTTTTGCCTTTGGCTGCTTTATCCACTTTCCGTCTTTCACCTTGCTCCCGTGTCTCCTGCCTTGGGTCCTCAGAAAGCGCATCATCTTTGGGTTTGTCTGGGCACAGGCTCTGCCTTTAACCTGTGTTTTGGTGTTTGAAGATATGTCATCACAGATATTGTTGGGAAGGACGACGGCTTGGGCGTGGAGAACCTGAGGGGCTCAGGCATGATTGCTGGGGAGTCCTCCCTGGCATATGAAGAGATCGTGACCATTAGCTTGGTGAGCACCTCTGCTCTTCTTTTATTTTTTGGTTTTTCATGATAGAAACTTTAAAATCATCACAAAAGTAGAGAGACCCAATACTGAGCCCCAGGACACAACTCCCAGGGCATCACAGCAGCCCCTCCTGTTCCTCAATCCCCAGTACCCACTTTAGGATATTTTAAAGCCAACCCCCCATCATGTCATTTTACCCATAAATACTTCAGGTTTCCTTTTTACATAACTGTAATACTGTTATAACACCCAAGAAAATCAACTATTTAATATAATTGGAGCGCAGTTTGGTTTTAGTTTTAACATTTATCTCAGAAATATTCTTCTATGGCTGGTTTGTTTGAATCCAGATCCAATCTCCTCTTATATAAAGGTGTTGAGTGTTTAGAACTTTTGTCTGACTCTAACTGGTTTGAAAAAAAAAGTGTTCCCCATTCCACCCATGACCTTTCCAAAATGTTTTCTGTGTCTAGTAGCGGCCATGGCGGCAGTGGTGTTCTTTAGTGATCACCTGTCTCTCAAGGCCTTATTTTTACATGCGAGGTCAGATCTGCAGTTTCCAAGATGGAAAACACTGGCTGTGAGTGTTTTCCTTAGGCTTGTCTTCTAGAGAATATATTTATACATGTCTTCTTGTTTTGAAATAGGTTAGGACTCACCAGAAGTTATGAGATTGTACAGAGAGTTCCCTTCATACCCTCACCCACCCTCCCCCATGACAGTATCTTACATGACCATAGCACCTTCTCAAAACCAGAACATTGGCGTTGACACAATGCTGTAAACTCAGTACAGACCTTACTCAGATTTTGCCAGTTTTTACACACTCTCCTAGACATCATTTTGGTTGTGCAAGCAGCTGCGATAACGTGTCATGGCAGAGCTCAGGAGAACTACACACGGCCTCTTAAGATCTGCTGTTTTTCTTTTCTTTTCTTTTTGAGTCAGGGTCTCACTCTGTTGCCCAGGCTGGAGTACAGTAGCATGATCACAGCTCACTGCAGCCTTGACCTCCTGGGCTCAGGTGATCCTCTCACCTCAGCCTTCCAAGTACCAGGGACCGTAGGCGCATGCCACCACACCTGGGTCATTTTTTGATATTTTTTGTAAGTCTCACTATATTGTTGGACTCCTGGGCTCAAACATTCCTCCTACCTTGGCCTCCCAAAGTGCTGGGTTTATAGGCGTGAACCACCACATCTGGTCTACAATCGTCTTTCCAGGTGGGAAGCTGAGCTCAGATGAGTGCCCTGAAGAATAGGCTTTGCCTCTGCTGTTTGGCCCCACCCTAGATTGCCATGGCTAATAACTTCCTCTTGTGCCCAAGAGGCTCCTGGGCTCTCCCCGCCACACTCCAGAATTCAGAAGGGGATCCTCTCTCTACAGGTGACCTGCCGAGCCCTTGGGATCGGGGCCTACTTGGTGCGGCTGGGCCAGCGTGTGATCCAGGTGGAAAATTCCCACATCATCCTCACAGGAGCAGGTGCTCTCAATAAGGTGACTGCGGGGGGGGGGGGGGGGGGGGGGAGCAAGCAGAGTCAACCTCACATTTCCACTGTCCTCTGTTGAGGGCTGTTTCTCAACGTGAAACTAGTTTCATTCCTACTGACATGAGAGCTATTTTTCCAATTTGTAGTTATCTGAGTTCATTATGAGAAAAAAAAAGTCTTGGGCTATTTTGGTCTAACTAACTTCCTATATCACTGACATTTTAAGACAAAATGATTCAAGTGGTGTTACACATTACAGAAAATTGGAAAAAAAATAATTTTTGCCTAGAACTTCTATAATTCTGGTCCAGTTTCCTCTCACCCTCCATCTTCGTTGGTTAATTTACAGTGAATACACAGTTTGGTATTTTACTTTTTTCACTGTATTCAAGCATTGTTCACGTTGCTATAGAGTCTCTTTGCTTAATGTCTGCTCAGACCCCATGGAGGGCCTCAAAGCCTGGTTCTTGAACCAGCAGCATCAGCATCATCTGGGGACCTGTTAGAATGCAGTCGGGCCCCATCGCAGACCTGCTGAATCAGAAACACTAGCTAGAGTTCTGCCTTGGGAATGAGCAGAGTATTCAGCTGCATCCCTGGCTTTCAAATTGGGCTGCTTACTGGAATTAGCTAGACATTTAAAAAATACAAAACTGATGCCTGGGTCCTAGCCCCAGAGAGTCTGATATAATTGGTCTAGGTATACCCTAGTGTCAGGATTTATGAGTGCTCCCAGGTGATTCTAAAGCATGGCCAGGATTGAGAGCCACCGAGCAAGATGATCTTGGAGCAGGGGAAAGGGCCCCGGGCCGTGCAGGATTTCACTAACCATGCTGTGTCCAAGCAGGTACTGGGGAGAGAGGTTTACACGTCCAACAATCAGCTGGGTGGTGTGCAGATAATGCATTACAATGGCGTCTCCCATATCACCGTGCCAGATGACTTTGAGGGAGTGTATACCATCCTGGAGTGGCTGTCCTACATGCCGAAGGTACTGTGTCCGCCCTGCAACTGAGAGCCTGGAAGACTCTGTCGGCTAGCTCATTTGCTGGCTGTGTCCCTGTCACCTCCTGGGTGGGGGGCAGGTGGGAAACAAGAAGCAGTGCAGGTGTGACTGGGCTTGGCTCTTCACTCATCTTTTTGCTCTCTTGGGAGCACACCATAAGGGTGCTGCCTGTTGATCCTTTAGAAAAGGATAGTGCCATCTCTTGACAAAAGACCTCGGACAGTAGCAAATCCTCGAGCTTTGCAGTCGGGCTGGATTTGATTTCTGACTTCCTTTTCGGTTGCTATGTGACACAGGGACAGTCTCTTAATCTTTCTGAGCCTCACTGTCCTTCCTTATCTGTGAAGTGGGGATAGTAAATAGCCCCTGTCCTATGATGATTACGTGCAGTGGTACTTAGCATTGAGCCCCGTGGTAGGACCTCACGAAATGCTACTCATGACAGTGAGTTGGGGGGGGCTTCTTTAACTCGATGTTGGCCAGGCCAATGCTTGAGTCTCAGTTTCTTCAACTGTTCCAGGAGGATGATGCTTGCTCTGCCTGCCTCATAGGGGATTTGTTGAATGGTAGCTAAGAATAAGGTAAGAGTAGGCACAGGTCTTGGTTAACTGTAACATTCCATACAGGCAACTGGGGCCAATATTCTTCATTATAATTATTTCCAGAAGGTTGATTTCCAGAGTTCAGCTTGTTCCAGACCATCTGCCAAGGGCCCCATGTTCGAACATTTTCACAAATGTCAGTTCTTAATCCTAGGTGCCCCTTTCTGCCATCTGCATGCCAATTGTTACCACTGTCTTAGCCATCCTCTTTTCTTTTTCTTTTAATATGTTTTATCTGGTCTTATACAGCAGGAGCACCTCTTTCCTGCCTTTTTTTCCACTTCTGTCATCAGTGAATTCCTTTGAACCCCAGAACATACTCAGGAGTTCATAAAGTAGATTTCAGAAGAATCCATGGGACTGCCAAGCCCTAGAAGGGGATATTGCCATATAACCAGGTGTAATCATAGTCAGAGGAGCAAGCACAAACAGCAGATGGGCGGCGTTATTGACAAGCAGCAGAGACTGAGTTGGAGACTTGGCTTGCTTTTCTAGGATAATCGCAGTCCAGTCCCTATCATCACAGCCACTGACCCCATTGACAGAGAAATCGAATTTCTCCCATCCAAAGCACCCTACGACCCCCGGTGGATGCTTGCAGGAAGGCCTCATCCAAGTAAGTCCTAAAGTGTTTTGCCTGGAACCTAGGTCTTGGGTTTCTTACCTGGGCCTGGGATAAAGAGCATATAGGGAGAAGCATTGATATCTGTTCCCATGTCCCAGAGGGGTATAACCAACATCAAATGCAGCGGGGGCATGGAGGAATAGAGATTTGACTCCATAGTTTCTTGAACCATTGACCCAGAGTGGGTGAAAATAGCCTCCGGCTTCTGGAGCTAATACATGGAAGTGAGGCCTCCCACCCCAAACGGTCCATGGCCGCATTGGAGGGAAACTTGGTGCTGAACCATCAGTGTTTCAGAAGGAAGACTGCCTTCCTCCCTCTTGTTCTGTCTCTCTGACTTTGTAGCTAAACCCTTACAAAGGAACTCTGTGCATCTACCCAGAATAGGCAGTTTGGCTTCTTCTATAGACATGCACACACGAGAGCACATGTGAACACACACATGCATGGGCATGCCCATGCTTTTGCACCCACACATTCTCTCTCTCTGCAGGGCAGGGGTTTATCTCTTAGAGGTCTAGTATTTCATTCTGCACAACCAGGACAGCAGGGAAACTGAGCTTCCTGGGTTGTCACTGTATCTGGAGTCTAGAATTTCATGTGCTGCTGCCTCTAGACATGACCCTGCTTATTCAGCTGTGTGATGTGGGACAGGTGACCCTCCAGGGCGTGCCAGATGCTGACCAGCATGAGGGACCCTATGGCTTGCTTCTCCCACTCTCCATCTCTCTTGGGCTTCCTTGACTGTGGATGCTGAGGGCCCGCTTATCTGGAGGGAGACACGTTCAGCTCCTCCCTGACTGTCCCTCCCTCTAGTCAGGCCAGTCCTCAGGCAGGTGCTGCGGCTGGCCTTTCCCACACACAGCTGCCCAGGCTCCCACACCCGCCGCTCGAGACCCCTCACACCGTCAGACTCCATTTATGCCAGCTGTGGGTTTAAATCACTTCTCCCCATCAGTGGCGGTAGTTGACATCATCATATTCTCTATGGTGGGTGGGAAGAGATTTTCTTCCCAGTTAAATGGTAATTAGCGGCAGTGAGCTGCCAGGAAGCTGAGTGTCAGTTTTTCAGGGCAGGTGACCCCTTCTTGAACTCCCGCCTTCCAGGAGGTATTTATCAGCTCTCTTTGCCTCTTGGGAAGAGATGACAGAGACCATGATTGGGATCTCAGGGTGTTTGGCATTGATAGTGAAAGGCAAGTCCATGGTGGTTGGATGTTCCTTGTGGACTGAATTCCTGACTTGTTGCATTTTTTGCAAGCCTGTTTTTGTTGTTGTTGTTTTCGTTTCTTGTTTTGTTTTGCAAGGGGTTGGGATCTGTGTGAATTTAGAGGAAGAAGGGCATCTGAGCTTCAAGGTTAAGGTCAAGCTCTCCTTAGAGAGATCGCAGGATGGTCTGCCCAGCCAGGCACACCCTGGGGCCCTCACTCACCACCCGCCCTGGCCTGGGCTTCTGCTCTTCTGCCCACAGCTCTGAAGGGAACCTGGCAGAGTGGATTCTTCGACCAGGGAAGTTTCAAGGAAATCATGGCACCCTGGGCCCAGACCGTGGTGACAGGACGAGCAAGGTAACCCCGAGGACAGCCACAGACTGTACACACCTGGCCTCACCAGGCACTGAGGCCCAGGGGCAAGGCTAGGGACTGCCAGGGTTGTTTTCTTTCTGGCCCCAGACTTTTCTGAAAGAAAAGGCCAATTTGGGGAATGTTCTGGATGCCAAAACTCTTCCTATGGTCTGGGTTGTCTCTGGCCTTTGAAGGCATCTCAGTCATCTCCTGTGGGGGCCCAGACCCTGCTTTCTCATCTGTCTCCTACCCACTGGGGCCATGTCCCCTTTGGGAATCAGAAGGTGGCCCTGAGTGGCCTCCCCAGAAAACTGCACAGATGCTGACACTGAATTCCATTTCAGAAGGACCAAGGTGGGAGTGTAAGTGCTTGCATGCTCTCAGAGCCAAGCGGCTCACTCTTCAGCTGTGTAGCCTTCATCTCTTTAGACAGCGCCAGCCATCTGAAAGTGCTTCCTTAGACTGAGTCCAAAGCTGTGTCCTCATAATTTACCACTCAGGTTCCTGGTACAATGTCGTAGCTACAAGTCCAGGCTCTGGCACTGGACCTGGGGTTAAAACCCCATCCCTCTCCTTTTTTTTTTGACTTGGAGTCTCACCCTGTCACCCACATTGGAGTGCAGTGGCACGCTCACGGCCACCGTAGCCTTGACCTACCTGCTGGGCTTAGGCAGTTCTTCTGCCTCAGCCTTCCTAGTAGCTGGAACTACAGGCATGCACGTCCATGTGCAGTTTTGTTTTGTTTTTTGATTTATAGAGACGAGTTCTCACCAAATTGCCCAGGCTGGTTTTGAAACCGTGGGCTCAGGCAATCCTCTTGCCTCGGCCTCCCAAAGCACTGGGATTACAGGTTTGAACAACTGTGCCCAGCTTTATCCTTCATCCTTTTGGGGCCTCCACATCCTCATCTGTAAAATGGGGATAATAATTCTACCCCCCAAGGGATTATTGTGATGATTAGAAGCAGTACTGTCTGTCAAGCACTTAAAATATCATTAGGACTCCCTGGGGGAGGGGCTGCTCTTATTAGTTACCTTTCTTTCTTTTATTCTTTCTTCCGTCCTTCTTTCCTTCCTTCCTTCCTTCCCCCCCCCTTCTCT